TCAAGAACCACAGACACGCTTGTAGTTCCTACACTGCTGAGAAACATCCTTATCAAATCCATTCAGTAAGTGAACAATTTGGTTCATCACACAAAATAGTGTGTACTTTAAAGGACCCATGTCGGGGAAAATTGAATTTTCTTCGCCTTTTTACATAAAATACATTGATGTATTATCTAAGCATTGCCAATGTCTCACTCCTCAGTCCATACAGCTCACATAAGGAGACCAAGCTGCAAAAAACAGCTCATCTAAAATTGCTCATGGTTGTGATGTCATAGCCATGCACATATTTACACACGGTCAGCCTAGAGCAGTTTAGCTGCCCATTTGGAGTGTTGTTCCTGCAGACAGTCTGTAGCAGAGTTACAGGGGTGGAAAATGATTAAACGTCGTGCTGTTCATGGCTGTCAGGAAGTGAACAGATCATCGCAGCTTCCAAAGGATCCACACGGTTCTGTGGGTTTCAGTCTTTTGGTTCTATTTGCTTCCTGACAGCCATGAACAGCACAACATTTAATCGTATTCCATCAGATATAGACTGTCTGCAGGTAACAACGCTCCACATCACTTCAGTGTGAAAGGGCAGCTAAACTGCTGCTCATTGAACGTGGCTCAATACATGGCTGCCCAACCAATCAGAACAGAGCTCATTTACATATACATGTCTTAAATGCACATGAACAAAAACTGTGATATATAATGTATAAACAGAGGTTAAAAAATGGTCATGGAAAAATGAATTCGGTACATAAAACCACACACCTATAAGTGAATTCCAAGTTTTAAAAAAATATATAATAATAATAATTGATGAAGTCAAAACTCTTAATGCGACTCACTTTGTCCCCAGCGCGAGGAGCAGGCGGGCGGCGCAGAGGGGCTGTCAGTTCGGGACGTGTCAGGTGCACAACCTGGCTAACACGCTGTACATGATGGGACAGAACACTGGGAAAGAGCAGTCCAAAAAGGCCGCGGACCCGAACGGATACGGCCGCTAGAGCGGTCACCACTCATCTGCTGCCGTCCACCTGCAGTGCGCAGTTTTGTGTTTTACTGGACAACTATTTCATGATCAAGTCCTTCTAGATCAGTCAGGTGTTCCGGAACGTGAAACGGCAGTGCTGATGGACCGCAGGACTGTCCGTCTTGGAACTCAGTGTTGTCCCACACTGGACTGAATGACTTCGGTACTTTTCCTCAGGCTGCTTTAAAAAGGCCTGTTATAAAGAAATGGGTCACAGTTACGACGACATGATTGTTCACTGAGCTGTTCTGCTCAGTACGCTTGTGTGATTTTGGCTGCTGTAATTGTACATAACTGTCCATAGATGCTTTATATAAATGTTGTTATAACAAAGTATGCTATAGTATATTAATAAAATTATAAATTAAGAATATTTTCCATTCACTATGCTTGTCCAGTTACATTTACTCAGTATGCAATGTCTATTTTTTGCAATGCGCTGCTCCAATATGTTAAATTTGGCAAATAAACAATAATTGTGCACTAAATTGTGCAGAAGTGTGTCTCTGTAGAGGTGTGTTCACTTATTTTCACTTAAAAATCAACACAACATGGGATTTGAAAAGTTTGGAATCAGCAATCATTAATAATTATCTAATAATAATGACTCAATTTAATTTATCTTTTTTTCTGCAAATATTAACACATAGCTACTTTACATTTGATTAACTTAAAACAATCGAGGCACATGCATAAGTTTGGACACCCTACTTAATCAATGCTAATGCTATTCTTGAAGTAATTCATGGAAGATATCATGGTGTAGCTTATATTCCTCTCTAATGCAGACAAACATGAATAGGTACAGTGAAAATTACAGCCAACACAAGCACAGATATAGTCACTGTCCAAGTACAGGATGAGTCTTTCCATCATCGTCATCATCATCATCATCATCATCATCATCTTAAACCACTTGGTCCAGCTGGGGTCGAGGCAGCGGTAGGGAAAACAGAGAATCCCAGACGAATCCATTCCAAACCATTCCAGCCCAAACCATTGCATATAGCAGTATTATGGGAAATACATGGCATGACACAGCAATAAAATGCTATTTTCCTAATCCTATTATGCTTTTCTGGTTTTTCCTGTTCCTTTTGCTGCAGTTATCTGAATATTCGAATGGTCGTGCAAACAGCACATGCTGATTTATTACATTGGATTAAGGCCTAGAAATCTGATAAAAAGAGCTGAGTTTTAGTTCAGTAATGGGGTTTGTCAGCACGTCTAAACTCTTACTCTGATTTCTTTCGTTTCTCTTAGTCTGCGCATGTGTGAAAACAAAGCAACACAACACTTTTGGAGCAACGCTGAAACCAAACACATGCTTAATGAAATGAATGATTTAAATATTCTGCATCTTCTAGATCAGGAGTTCTTCAAACTCAACCACTAAAAGGGCCATATTAAAAAATCTCAGCAGATCTGTGGACCAGCTGCGTTTTTATTTCATTTTTACTTAGCATTTTGCCATGACCCTAAATAGCCATTGTTTATTCAGAATACGCCAAAACTGCAACAGCAAAATAGACACTGAAATTATTTTTATTCAAAAATAATTCTTAATAAAAATAAATAGTTGTAGATTTTTTAAAACTGCCTATTTGCTTGAACTGGACACCAGGTGTCTTTTCTGTTTGTGTAACCGCGGTCCCACAGATTGTTGTTGAGGGGGTGAGAATGCACACTATGTTGCAGTGCATGCTGGGGACTGTAGTGCATCTCAGGGTGAAACAGGCTAATAAGAATAGAAAATTAAAATAATTTCTCAGGCCGAATAGGACTGCGCCAAGGGCCTGACCTGGCCCTTGCTCGTGTTTGACACTTGGGTTCTAGATGATGTATACTCATATTTTACACTGACGTGACTCGATATTTAAAAAAAAAGCCACAGAATGAACTTTGAGTCTTACCATTAGAATCTGTTACACTGTGATATCAACATATCAGCAAAGCACTAAATGTTAAATTAGTGACCAGTGAGTGAAATACCCCCGCTCAGGTATTCAGGGGTCCCATGTTGGATGGCTGCTTATTCCCTCACCTTAGCGGCGCTGTTCTTCTTCTTCTGTAAAGTCTCTGTTCTAGTGCGGTTCTGCGCCCTTCCTCCCATTAACTGAGATCTTCCTCGTCTCCTCTTCTGTCTTCAGTGTGAGAAATGAGGAACAGTCACTCTTCACTCCAAACTCTTGGGAAACTGGGCGAGTTTTCAGATTTACAGATCTGCTGCGGCTCATTGTAAAGTTTTTTAAAGGAATCCATTCAGATTTACAGTTGCTAGGCCTTGAAGGAGCAACAGGGTGAACTGATTTGCTTCAGCGCCACCCTGAGGCAGAGCAGTGCTGCAGCTCTAGTTGGTACAGACACTGATTGTGGGTGAAGCAGCTAAACAATGAGCTTTCCTTCAATTTGTCTATTTTTCCCTAATGAACAACACAACTTCATAATAAGTTTATTTTCATTGGAACTCCCCAGAAATTCGATATTAAGACATTAGAGGGTCCAAGAGGTTAATTAAAAAGTTATTAAAAATAAACCTAAATAACGAGAAAGCATCTCAAATTAATGATTTAGGTCCAATCCCATTTCTTATTTTTACCCCTAACCCTTGTTTGTGAGGGTCTCCTTGCCCCTTGGCACTGATTTACAGGATAATGGTTAAAATCTTCCCTACAAAATGGAACAACCCTCAAACAAAAAGAGCATCACTTCATTAACAGCTACTAGCGCTGCTCTGTAGGAGACCCTGCCAGTCTGCAGTGACAGCAGAGGAGGGTAAAGTTCAGGGGGGCAAGTATTTATTATCACCCACCCTGAATTCATCAGTGATATGAAGCTGAAGTCAGTTATTCACCATTTTTTTTTCGAAGTTTCCCGTTCCACCTTAAATGGTGCAGCAGTTCTGATGCCTGAGGCGCCGGAGTGTAACTGCTGCACCATTTAAGGTGGAACAGGAAATTTAGTGTACTGCTAGCGATTTTTGATGCTTGTTATGAAGTAAATGACCAGAATACACTGAAATGACATTAAACTAAGATAATACAGTAGTTATAGTAATTTTTTAACAGAGAAAATTCTCACATTTGTGCGTTTCTCTTTTTTTCTCATAACTCTCTTTGGAGTGAATCTCTGAAAAACCTCCGTTTGGAGGGCCATGTAGTCCCAACACTTCGCCCTATCCCTCTCAACCAGAATCAGGACACCCTACCCCTAGACATGAACACACAAAACCAGCATATGTTGTGTTTTGGATGCTGGTACCAGCACTAGGCCAGCATATACCAGCATAGACAACTTAGACCAGTATAAAACTCATGCTGGTCAGTGCTGTTGTTTATTTTCAGCAGGGAATACACTTAACCTCTTCAACTCCTTGAGGCCGCCGGTGGTTCCAAAACGCACTTCGTCATATTCTTCATATCTTTCATATTTCATAAGCTACATTCTAAAGGTGGGGGTCGTATGAGAGCTGTAACTGTCTTCTTTCCAGTCAAATAGATGGTGATGCAATTTTAAACTCTTATAATAAAAGAAGCTGAACTCACTATTTTTGTCTACTGAAAGTCGACTCATTTTTCCACAAATCTGGGCTATAAACTATAAACAGATGGCGTCTCTTCAGTGATCTGCTCTGTAAACATTATTTTTATAAAATAGTACAAAGAGTGTCTGAGATTTTTGGCTTTCAGCAGTAAATTGTAATATAGTAATATGTGCATGATCATAAAACACGTTCTGTTAATTTGAGGGGAGCTTTTAAAATAAATAAATAAACAATAATTTACATTTATTTCATGCAGTTACTGAATAATTTGCCTTAAGATTTGGTCATGTAAATTCAGATGGACAAACCATAATATATCCTGGAGAATAATGAAAAAATAATAATCAGGTGCTGTATTTTTTATTTTAAGTGTAAAGGGCACTAATGGTGTAACAGGTGACCAACGGCTGATTCTGATGGTTTCCTAGCGAGATATTTTACAGGAAACCAGCGGCCTCTTTTGGAAGCCGTTAAGCCAAAAGCCAACAGTCCTTAGAAAGGAATCCTCATCGTTTCTAAAGGTCTTTTTCGGCAGGAATGGGCTTCATATCTATACCTACCCGCTCTGGTGTCTAACAGCTACTTTCTGTGTGGTCACGTATTTACATTTGCAGGTCACTTTAATGAAGGGAGTTTCTCGCGCGCTCCTCGCCATTATAAACAGCCACGTACCGACACGGTCGAGCCTGTGAGGGAGAAACTTTTCTGGTATCTTCTCTTTGTCTCTCCGCTCGTTTGCCTGCGCTGACCACACCCAGCCGAGTGGCTCGACCTGCCGAGCTGCAGGTAAAGCAGGCAGGAATGAAGGCAACTTCCTAGTTCGGGATAAAGTGGCTCTTTGGCTCGTCTGGACTTTCTCGAGCCGAACACTTCAGACATGAGCGAGAAGGAGGTGGACGGAGGAGGAGGAGGAGGAGGAGGAGGAGGAAGAGACGGATTAACGAGGAAAGACCTGGTGGGTTTGTAGAGCTACTGAGAAGGTGGTCGAGAGCAGAAGGTTGCCAGAGATTCGCCTTTGTTTTTTGCTGAGGAAGGAAACCTGTGAGGAGTTTAGTGAGGCTCCGTAAGGAGTTTACTGGCCTCAGGGTGTTTCATGCCACCACAGAGCGGCTGGCCGGGCTTTATTTGTACAGTAAGACGGTAGAATCAGCTACAGTGTGAATATAAAGCTCTGAAAAACTGTACAAACTGTTCTCATTACATTCACAAGTTCCTCCAGCTGCTTTAACCCGGCTCTGACTGAGACACTCCACTATCAGCAGTGGCTGTGTAGCATATGCTAGTCATTAAAGGGGAATTCCACCACATTTCCAAATTGTCTGCATACGTCGGTCGTTAAGTTGTAAACACAGTGCGTTTACATACTGATTATTCAAATGGTCGTGTAAACAGGACACTCTGATTCCTCAGATCTGAGTAAGGTCTAGAAATCCGATAAAGAGGCTGGATTTTAGCTCAGTAATCAGATTTCTCAGTGCTGTAAGCTCTTACTCTGATTTCTTTCGGATTTCTCAGTCTGCGCATGTGCAAAAACAGACCGCTTTACCGGAAACAAGCGAGCAGCGTTGTCGCATTACGCAGCAACACACTTTTGGAGTGACGCTGAAACCAAATACATGTTTAACGAAATTAAAGATTTAAATATTTTTCATCTTCTAGATGATGTATGTTCATATTTTCAGGTAAAGTGGGGCGATGTTTTAAAAAAAAAAGCTGCGTGAAGTTCGAGTTTTACGTTACGTTTACGTCACGTCGTCTTCTGTGAGTTTATTGACTGGTTGTAAAGCAGAAATCTGATTACTGTCTAACTCGTGTAGACCTGGAGTCTCCCATTATCTGATTACTCACGTGCATGTAAAGGTGTAGATTGGATTACTGACAAAATCTGATTTTCTGCAGTTATCGGATTATTAAGTGCATGTAAATGCATTCAGTGTCGTTTAGAGTGGTTTGGTGTGAAGTGGTTCAGATGTCTTTACAGTGGTGGTGATAGGAACCAGGGGTCGCCATGACTACAACACAAATATAGACATTTTATTTACCATCCAAAACCGCCAGAGAAACTACATGTGAGGTTTTTATGTGGAATGTTGACCTGAAAAGTACTATTTGGCCTTACATCATGCATCTACTTGAAAATGCCGTAGGGTTCACCGCTATTAAAGAAGACCCAGCTTATGTACAAGTTGCTGTGCTTTATTAACAGGCTGTAGTTGGCCACACTCAGCACTCAGAGAGAGTTTTGTCTCGCAATTCACTCTAAGCCTCCTTGCTTTTTCAGCTGTCTGCGTTACGCTGGGATCAGACGATGTGATATTTTTGTCTTTCATGATGGTCATTATGTCAGATTAGGCAGTCATAGTGCCATAAATTCGTCTTGGTTGGGAGACTAGCAGCACCACAAGTTTGATGCCGACCAATTGTCGTTCGCATCCTTGCACGAGGTCATAGGTCGTCGGGGAGCTTCTATCGTTGGAGTCAATCTTGACTATAGAAGTGCTATGTGTGATGCTGGCGGTTTGTGTTCTGAAGATTTTTGAGAACTTCTTAATTTTTTTTGTGAATTGCATTTAGGAACATTCTTATGAACTTCTTAGTGTTGGTCTGAAGAAACTTCACAAGTTTTTTTACGAATGAAGTAAAGAAAAAACGCACATTTAAGAATATTTTCTTCTTAAGACACTTTCGTAAATCCGGCCCCAGATTAACAAAATGTAGATGCTGTCCTGTCCAGTCTTCAGTGTTCAGTCTGCTTTTCTCTGCTTTGGTATCTCTTTTGCAGTCCTGCTGCTGGAGTCCTCCTGCTCGGCACATTTAATGGTTTCTTTGCTCCCCAGACGCCTGATTCTAATCTGATTCTAATCTGTTCTAATCTACAAGCCCTTCTCAAGGTTAGAACGGGGTATGTTAGAGCAGAGAAACTACTGCATATTTCAGTGGGTGAGATGTAATCAGTCAATCAGAGTGTTTTGGTGTGAAAAACTTATAAGCTCAGATGTCTTTACAGTGGTGGTGATAGGAACCAGGGGTCACCATGACTACAACACAGATATAGACATTTTATTTACTATCAAAACCACCAGTGAACCTACACGAGTCTTCTGAGTTTATATGGAATGTTGATGATGGAAAATAGTGGAAAATCTAAAATAATAATATTTCTTTGGGGACTATTTTGCCTCACAGCACCCTGCATGTTATAGATCCTTCCACCATGAATCAATTTTAAGGCCAAAATCTTCTCAAAACTATCACAAAACAGTGTCTCAGTCATCAGGCAGTGAATTCATAACCATTTAATGTAGTAATATTCTGTGAAGGAGCTTTTAGAGGTGGACGTCTGGTTCCTATCACCACCACTGTGGTAGGTCACCAAACAGCTCTGACTCGGTAAGTTTCTCTAGAACAGAGCGTTTCAATCTTTGGGGCCATTTTGATCTCCACCTACCAGTAACTTTCTGTGAAGGAGCTTTTAGAGGTGGACGTCTGGTTCCTATCACCACCACTGTGAACACTGCTGAAGTGTTCCTTTAAGATATACAGACCCTCAATTTGATGCCAACGTTTGATTTCAGAGCTGGGTTCCAAGTGTTATCAAGAAAAGAGTGTGCACGACGTTCGTGGAGGATTCGTTCAGGTGAGCCCTCCCTGTTTATGTTGCACTTTCCTTGAATGCCAGACCTGCTAATGTTTGATTTGCACCATCTTGTCCTGATGTTTTTTGCAAACATCCTCTGTGCAAATGCTTCATAGTGCAGCATAGTAACATAATATGCATAAGTAAGTTACAAAAATCACAGTGTGAGGGAACAAAATCATTCCTGCCTGGTCTTGTCTGTTGGAAACAAACTCATTCATGCCGGTTTCTGCAGACTTCTGATCCTGTAGTGTCCTGACCTGCTAGATATACATTCTTTTTCATCTAGACAGTAAACCTTGCATATATTAGCCAGGTAAAGTAAAACAAGGAGGATAAAAGAGAGAGACTCAGGTAAATAGTATAATAAGCCACCAAACTGTACAAGGAAACCTCAGCCATCGTTAGGCATCATAAAAAGTAGGGCTTCCCTGCAAGTGTTGTGTTTTTTTTATTATTCTCCTCATGTATTAGCTTTCTGGGGAGGTTCTGAAATATAATTTGGGAGATTTTACTTGCTGATTCATACAGCATAAAATGTCTGTAAAATTAGCTCAAATTCCCATATATATATATATATATATATATATATATATATATATATATATATATATATATAATAACCTGGATGTTAATGTCAGTGTTATGCCGTAGGACACAATCAATTTATTGCTATTATTACTGTCAGACTGTAAAACTACACACACTGCAGATTCATACTGGATTAAAATCGCTCCACAATTATTACTGTCAGACTGTAAAACTACACACTGCAGATTCATACTGGATTAAAATCACTCCACAATTATTACTGTCAGACTAAAACTACACACACTGCAGATTTATACTGGATTAAAATCGCTCCACAATTATTACTGTCAGACTGTAAAACTACACACTGCAGATTCATACTGGATTAAAATCACTCCACAATTATTACTGTCAGACTGTAAAACTACACACACTGCAGATTCATACTGGATTAAAATCGCTCCACAATTATTACTGTAAAACTACACACACTGCAGATTCATACTGGATTAAAATCACTCCACAATTATTACTGTCAGACTGTAAAACTACACACACTGCAGATTCATACTGGATTAAAATCACTCCACAATTATTACCGTCAGACTGTAAAACTACACACACTGCAGATTCATACTGGATTAAAATCACTCCACAATTATTACTGTCAGACTGTAAAACTACACACACTGCAGATTCATACTGGATTAGACAGCAAATAGCTACTGTTATTTATATATTTATATTGATTTTAGGCTTTAAATTTTAACTGCTGATGATGATCAGCAGTTATCGGTCAAAAGCATTTGCCAAATTTGCATCTAGGAGGTAGACTTTTCCAGGTTTTCCAATTAGTCCAGCTCTGAATAGTGGAGCAGGGAATTTCCGTTTGCTGTGTACAGGACCAGATTAATCTGTACATGGAAATTTGCTTTAAAATGATAAAACTGGTTGAGAAAAAGTGGTGATGATGACATGTTATGACAGTGTGTGATGGGGATATAGAAATAGTAATGCAGTTATAGGTAGAGGATGGCAGTGCACATAATGGATGATGAAAATAATGGTGAACGTCTGTCCTCCTGCAGCAATGGTCACCTGTGTCAGTGTGGTGGAGCGAGGGACAGCCATGCCTCCGTCACTCTGAACGATTACTTCAGCAGCGCTATCGTCAGCCACTGGGAAAGCGCAAAGCACTCTACTGAGGCTCCAACTGATGCTTATGGAGAGGTGGAGTTTGCCGGAGTCAGCAAAAGGCACAGCTACGTGAGTCGCTCTCTTTTAGCTCTCTGTTCCATAGAACATTGGAATTCTGTGTTAGATCTTCACTCTGGATCATAGCAGAGTTTACAAAGAGCTGGGGCTGTTACAGAACATGAGCGTGAGTGAAGTGTTGCAGGATGCTGTGTAGTAGGGATGTACCATCATTTCTGGCTAATACTGAGGCCAATAATTGTATTATTTTAGCATTCAGAATAGCCATAAAATGCAATTTCCACCTGATTTGGTCTCTCAGTTGAACTAGATGCTTTTCTTCTTCAAAAACAGTCATGGAATATATATTTGATGGAAATTTGTGTGATGCAAATCAACATTTTTGTGTTTTTATTACGATTAAATGCTGTTTGTTTAGTTGTGTCAGTGGTACTGAACTGTTTGATACGAAGAAAGCTGCAGTTGTCTGTTTTATCTCGGCACGGCCGTCTTTCTGGAGAGGGGTGAATTGTTTATCACAGCAGGGGGTTCTCACGCCTCCCCTTTCACCCCTCATTGCTCGCTGGCAGCTCAACAGCATTTCACACACATAGAGACAACTGTTAAGAGATTTACAGGAGACATATTTTGTTGGATTATATTAAGTAATATATCTGAGTCAAATTCCAGAGCCCTGTGAAAAGAGGCTGCTACAAGGTTACAGATGGGATAATTATTGTAAATGTTCAGAAATTCAGCAACGAAAAAACATGTAGCTTTTACCAAAGCACTCTTATTGGTATACCAGTGGCATTTCTGTCTGAACTGGGAATGAAACCTCCCGCTATGTTATCTATTTTGGGAAAAAATGGAAAGCTATCAGCGCTAGAGGTCTGCGCTGGACCAAATTTTTCTTTAGTCCCGCTTCCCATAAGATTTCATCCCGCTCCCTCAGAAAATCTGCACCATTTGTCCCTCACCCACCTGCACCCTAAATGTTTTGTCCCGCTCCCACCCACACTCCTGTATAACTCCGACCCTTTAGTCGGCTTTATTGTCATGTTCTTGGCCTTTATTATGAGCTCTTTCCACAGCTGTGTCCGTCTCACTGTCTGAAGGCGGTTTGCGTGTTGTTCACATGATTGGTTGCTTCTATTTGGAACTAGTTTAGAACTTCTGTTTACACTGACTTTATTACTTTTTGTTATTTTGCCGCTGGATATCATTTATATATGCCAATTATTATGTGACGGTAATCATTTTAATTTGTCTACACGTATGTGTTGTCCTGCTCCCACCCACACTGGGCTGGTTAACCACCTTCTCCCATGCGTGACACTAAAAATTAGCGCCGCAAGATATTGTGGTGGGACATGGGGGGAATGCAGACCTCTATGCGGGCATGAAGTTATGAGTTGCTTATGTAGTTCCAGTATCAGGCTGATAATAATAATAATAATAATAATAATAATAATTTAACCATTTATTGACAAAGTATTATATCTGTTATGCACCCCCAGTGCTAAGTGGAAAATAGCCAATAGCAATTTTTATAACCAGTATTGGGATTTAAATGCTGGAATCTTTTGTAAAGTAAGTCTAGTCCATAAATAAGTTATCCACCAAAATATGAGTATATACATATTGAGAAATGACAGAGACTGTAGAGTAGATATTAGGGGAAATATCTCATTTCAGTTTTTTTGACTAATATTGCAATTAAGGTAATTAAGCACATCCATATGTCAGATTTGAGGCTTAAACAGTGACCGTATTGTGTCAGACTGCCAGGTCACGAGTTCTGTGTCATGAGGTTAAATTTTCCCACTCAAACTCAAAACAGTCTTGAATAATTTAAGATATAATTGAATTGAAATTGAATTAAAATTGAATTTTTGATCCGTCTGTTCCAGTTCCTGCGTCTCTCCTGGGATACCCCCCCTGCTACCGCCTACACCATAATGACCACCCAATGGGGCCTGCCCAAGCCGAACCTGGTGCTGTCGGTTGCAGGTGGTGTCGGCAGGTCAAAGGTCAAAACCTGGGTGCGAGAGGTTCTGAGGCAGGGATTGGTCAGAGCCGCCCAGAGCACAGGTACACACGTTCTCCCTTTTGACCTGGACCTAATAACTTTCACAATGCTTTACCCTCTTTATCTCACCGTAAAAGAAGTGTTATTGTTTGTGAAAGTTCCCACATGTTCTGCTCTGCAAATAACACAGTCTGTAATATCTGACTCAGCACTTATGCAAGAATAACACGTGCTGAGCTACTAAGGCCGACTTTGTGGTGGTGATTAGTGTTAGAGTTGATCTGTGAAGTGGTTTGGGTCAAATCTGGGCATTAATCATTTTAAGCCTTCATCGATGCAGCTGCTTTCCTTCGGCTGGTTGATGTTCTAATAGTAAAACAGTGTTTAATAAAAGAAGGGTTGCTCTACACATCTGGTTTCGCTTCTTTATTTAGCTGGATGTTTTCTTAAAGGGCTTCACAATCGGCCCAAAATATCAAGCGGTCTCGTTTTTGTTTGCTACGTATTTTGATTTGAGTGTTTCTACCAATGTATTGAAAGCAGATGATGTACATTTGATGACAACCATTGACATGCATGATGACATCCCCCACTGTGTTTGTGTTTTCACCAATCATAACCCTATAACCACACGCTTGTGAGAAGAAGTGTGCATGAGTGGGTCTTTAATTGTGAACTTATCTTTTTTCTGTGTCATAATAATAAATAAACGGAAAGAACAAACACAGCTTAAACCTTCAGGGTCATTGATGGAGAAAGACCGTGACCTTTGTGTATGGAGAATAAGTTATTAATAATCGGATGATGGTTTAGGAGCCATTCTTGCAGAAATCCAAGTAATTCCAAAGTGTTTGGATTTTTTATTCTGTACCTCCAGTCAGATCAGCTGGTGAGAGCAGTAGAGGTACTTCTAACCATTTACCTTTACTTTCAACCTCCCTCATTAGTTTATTCTGCTTTTGAATATGTTAATATTACTTTTAACAGTGGCAAACCGTGACTATTGCAGCTACCCCTTTAGTTTGAACCATAAATGTCAAGACAAAACAGCTGTTTTCTGCTAGCGCACATAAGGGATGTCTAATAGTATGTTAGCACTAAGCTAACAGCTGCATGTGAACATTGTTTGGCCATTCTAGATTAAGCAGTAACATTTGAAGCATTCTTTATGTTTTATTTGAACCTTACATTAACGTATAATTTATCTTGTATCAGTTTTACAGTAAGTATCCCTGACAGGGAGCTGCCGCCACCGTTTTCCATTCTTAAGAACTAACTGAAACCTGCTTGTATTCACAGTCAGTGATGTATCTAGAACTTCTAAATAGGACTAGAGTGACTTTTTTGCACAGAATTCGCCCCTCGTTTTAAATCAAAACAGAATTGGTTGATTCCTCTGTCACTTCCTAATTATGTTGGTAGTTAATCTAGTGTGTAAGGCCTTCAGTCCAGCTTCTGCAGTCCTAACCAATGGGAGAGCAGCTTGGCTGCATCGGCCTAGACACCACAGAGAGAACAATCCTGTCTGGATACTTTTCCATTGGGCGTTTCAAGATTGTAACCCTTTGGTTATCAATGAAAACAGTGAAATAAGAGTAGTGTTATTATTTTTTTAATAGTAGGATTCTTTTAAATAAAAATGAACAAAAAATAACAGACATATTTTTTTATTTCTGGAATTATTCCTGTATTTATTTTATCTTCAATTCTTTCCGCACATTGACTTCACCTGCTTTGTAATGGACTGTCAAGGCAGTTAAGTAGCAAAGTGCTACTGCAGGGCTTTTTACTGCCTGACGTACGATAGCGCGCTTAACTGGGACTGGCTGGACAGTGAAAACGGTCTGTAGAATTTGACTTGCTTTAACATACAATGGCCTTTGTACAGGTTTTATGAGTTCATGTTTAAGTTTAGCTTCGCTCCTCGCTCCCCGCAGTGAGGCCTTAATGGACGACCGTGGTTCAAAGGTTAAAGATAAGCAGCTGTATGGTGCCAAGACTCCTACACGACTTATCAGAGATGACTTGTGTGTAGCTTTATCAGTAATATGGCTGTAAATTGTTCTGGTTTTATTGTATGTTTGTGACACAGGAGACAGACATGACCTGTGTCCGTGTCACTCATCTGAACTTCTTAATAGAGTGGGAGAAAATGCAGTTTCTCTCCCTCGAGTTTTGGGACTCTTTTCAGCAGCTTTGGTGTAATTCAATGGATTCTGCCACTCAGTGGGTGACCTCATGTCCTTTTTGTGTGTGTCCCAGTAGAATAGGCTAAAAGAGTGACATGAACAAGTAGTAAATGATGAGTTTTAACTCTCCCAGGTCTCCTCTGGCAAATATGCAAAAATTCTTGCCTCTGCTGAATCGCTTCTAAAGCACTTTTAGTTTACTTAAACAAGCAGAGCCCCAAGTATTAACATTTTACTATTTAATTATTAATAATTTGAATGTGAATTGTCATTAAAATGTGCATAAATTTGTAATGTCAGACTTATGGATTATAAAATTACATTTCCCTGCTCACCAAAAGCCCAAAATTGGAAGTATCCAGTCAGAAAAGAAGCTGTTAATTGCATTTATTTCAACTATATACATTTTTGAAGTAGAATTTTCAGCCTACACTTGCATTTTAAAACTACAGCATTTTGGTGTGAAATCCACAAACCTGGCAACTTTGCTTATGAAGCACCTCACTGACATGGCTTATTGCTCACTCACTCACTCACTCACTCACTCACTCACTCACTCACATTAAGCAGGCAGTAGAGTGTCTTAAGAGCACTTAAGCAGAGTTGCCAGGTTGGGAAATATAATTTTATAATCCATAAGTCTGTCAGTACACATTTATGTATATTTTAATGACAGTACACACTAAAATTATTAATAATTAAATAATAAAATATGAATACTTGGGGCTCCTTGTACCATTTTTAAGATAATTTAAGCACAAAACGCTGTGATATCATATTGTATTAATTATTGCTCTCCACGTGTACAGGCGCCTGGATCCTGTCCGGAGGTTTGCGGGAGGGTGTTGGCCGGTTTTTAGGAGAGGCCGTGAGGGATCACACGACTGCAGCGTCTTTGGACTCTCTCACTAAAGTGGTGGCTGTAGGCATCGCTCCGTGGGGTCTGGTGGACCACCGGGAGCAGCTGGTAAACCCAGAGGTAATGATACTCTGTTTAGTGATTAAAATACTCTATAGATATTCTCAAAAACCTTGTATAAATAGTGAGAAAAGTAATCAGACTCCTTGAAAGTTACGTATCGCTGCTATCTCCATTTTTCACTTTTTGACATAAATTGAAAATGCTTTGATCTCTTTGCTTTGTGTGTTAATTTTATGATGAATGGACCAAAAGAAACGGCCCAAAATTAGTTGGAAAAATGTCTGGTTCCATTGACTTACATTAAAAGTAAAGCATGTTTTTTCCTTCTCCTGTAAAGTTACCATTTTGGAGATACAAGATTTTGTTCCGACAGCAGTGATATATTTTTCCAATCAGTATTTTTTTGTGAATTTGATTACTTATGCCATCAGCATATTTCATCATAGTTCATCATTTTCTTTAGTATACTGAATGTGTGGACCAGGAGTGCCCAAATGGTGTTCCATTTGGGCACTCAAAGCAATGTTTGTTGTGGTCTGAGGGCCAAGAAGACAAAACAATATATAAATAATGAAGACTTTTAAAAAATGTTTTTCATAATGTACTGCGTTCACAAAAACAAATGTAAAAGCAAAATAAGAGTTTAATAAGTTGCACAATAAAAAAATATGTTCTCTCACTGTGTGAGGGGGCGGGGGCAGGGGCGGAATGAGTTAGGCTTCCTGGCAGGCCAAATTAAATGTCCTCACAGGCCAACATTGGGCGGCCCTGGTGTAGACAAGTAACATTTCACACGTTCACAATAACAGTAGTTTTCAGAAAGCTCAAATAAGGCCTCTAATACGTTAAATGCAAGATTAAAATGGAAGATATGTATGTTTTTATGTGAAAAGCATGACCCTTGATTGTGATAACATCTTTGTGCTTCATCCAAAGAAAATAAATGCAGGCATGCACAACTCACCCAACCCTCCCTCTGTCTCTTTCTCTCTCTTTCTCCTTTTTCTTTTATTCAGGGCAGTTTTCCTGCTGAATATTATGTTCCGAACAGATCCCAGGACTCCTGCTATCTGGATAACAACTACCAGGCTTTCCTCCTGGTGGATGATGGGAGCGCAGGCCGCAGAGGTGGCGAGGCTGGCTTCAGAGCACGTCTGGAAGATTACATCTCCCACCAGCGCACAGGCAAATGGGGTGAGACTGTGGTTTAAAGAAGATTTCTGACTTAATTTGAAACAATCTATTAAATCGACAGTGCTTTGTGTGATATTGAACACTCTGGGGTTGACGAACGCCCTGGTGCGTCAAATTAGATGTTTCTCTGTGCTTCCATTACTGTCTTTGCGATAATCTAGTGCAGAAATACGGTTCAAACATTTCCTGAATCTGTAGAGTCGCCCTTTCTGTTCCATCACAACGTGAGATCGTACGTGACTCACATCCGGAGTTTTGAGGCTGTGAAGAGGGGCTGAGATACAGATACATGTATCTGTATCTCTCTATCGATTCGTCCACATGAAGAAAGCTGTGTTTTCACAAGTGATATTAAGAATTTCTAAAACCGCGTTTCATTTTTTCAAGTTCTGGGCCCAGTTATCTCTTTACACTGAGCTCCAGATGAAAGGGCTTCATTACCGAGAGAGCTGAGATTGTTCTATGTACAGTATGTCGTTGTCAGGTTGTATGCAGTTGCCTTTAAAGGCGAATTTAAGAATACATGCAAAAATCAAGAAAATGCCTATAGACTAGAGGTCTGTCCTGCTTCCGCCCACAACCAGAACGTTTTGTCCCGCTCCCGCCCGCACAGTTCCGTCAAGACGACCTGACATCCAATATCTCACACAATCTATTCACAAATATATTATTCTCTGCTGAAATAACACAGCAGTCATGGTCATCAGGCTCACTGTGAGTCACTTCATCAAATGCCATTTATTCCCAGTGAACACAAAGCAGGAATTAAACCACAGAGCGGTTATTTTTGGTGATTTGCTGGGAAGCTGTGGCTGTCAAACTGAAGGCCGCCGTCTCTGTAAGCTGCTAGAATTTGCGTGTTGTTCACGTGATCGGCTACTTCACCACTCTTTAGAATGACTTCATATTTTTATTGTTTTATTGTTTTAATTTTATATCATTTTATATATATGATTTAATGATCACTGTATTTTATTTAGGCTGTTCATTAATATGCAAGATTTCTATTAATGCGCGTTTTGTCCCGCTCCCGTCTGCAGTGGACTGGTTTCCCACCCACTCCCGCACACAATACTGAAAATTAGTCCCGCGTGATACACGATATTGTGACGGGTCCTGTGCGGGAGTGCAGACCTCTACCTCACACCCCAGAGGGTTAATAAATATCATTCCTGTGTTAGGCATAAGTCTTAAACTGGGTCCTGAATGCTTCGTCTCAGAGTTCGTATGGCAGTATTTGTGTGGTTATGTAGCCATTTGAAATGCTAATTTCTATGCATCCAATCACAAATTGAGTTTGTATTGTCAGGCAGCGGAACTATGGACATCCCTGTGCTGTGCACACTGGTGTCAGGAGAGCCCTACATGCTTGAGGTGAGCTCAGCAGTTAAAATGATGACTTTTAAAAAAACATAAATGTTTATAAATGCTTATTCCAATAGGTGTCATCTGTCATTAAGGCTACTTTGGTTAACTTTGATCAAAATTGGCAAATGTAACCCGGGTGATGTCTATTGGAATAAGCATTTCTAAACATTTATGTAGAGCTATGTCTGTTGTCATGACCAGGTTACGTATTTCTCATGAATAGTACCTTATTACAGAAAAATGTTACTAAATAATCAAATGTATAGATTTTGCCTCTTGCCCCAAATCGTACTCGATCACCCAAGACAGGGTTTGTTTTAAAGTTTGCTTCTTTCTTTCAATCAATCAATCAGTCAGTCAACCAATCAGTCAGTCAACCTTTTTTCGACTCGGAAGTACATTGAGGATGATAATTTATAATGTAGCTGAGCAAATTACACAGGAAATGAAAAGGTTGAAATTAAATTTATCAATTAAAAATTTATCAATTTATAAAAAATAAAAAACTAAAACAAAATAATTAACATTAAACAAACCAGTTGCAATAAAAAGTGAGATATAGTAATAATAATAATAAAATAAAAACACTGAAATAGTTCTAGGCAAAAGGATTTATAATATAAAAGGATTAATAATATAAAATAGAAAAATAAAAAAAAACAGCTCAAATAGGAAACAAGCATAAAATATCAATAAAATACATAATAAAAACACATTAAAAATAAGTCAAAGAACCAACGTAGATAATAAGGAAATTACAATTTTAGAAAAATCTAATTACTTACTAGAATAGTACAGTGAAAGAATTAACATCAAATAAAACAGTTGCAATAAAATAATGAGATAAAATAAATGTAAAAAATAATAATAAAAATAAAATCAAATAAAGAGAAGAAAGGTAAAGTTAACCTAAAACAGTTCCAGGCTGTCTGAAGGTGGCTAGAGACTAAGGCCCAATCCCATTTCTTCCTTTCACCCCTACCCCTTGTTTTCGAGTGTCACCCTAACCCCTTGGAACGGAGTTACGAAGGGTAGTGGTTGAAATCTTGCCCCACGAAATGGGACCCTCAAATTAAACTAAACAAAACAAAACATCACTTCATTAACAGCTACCAGCGCTTCTCTGTAGGCGACCCTGCCAGTCTGCAGTGACAGCAGAGGAGGGTAAAGTTCAGCTCCTCACTGCTGGGCTTTAGTTACATTTAGGGCATCATATGCCTTCAAAGAGGGGGGCAATTATTTATTATCACAACCCGCTAATTCTTCAGTGATACGAAGCTGAAGTCAGATTCTTGTTCACATTTTCCCGTTCCACCTTAAGTAAGTAAGTAAGTAAGTAAAGTTTACAAGGAAATCAACATTACAAAAAGAAATCCGGGTCCAAGCTCCCATGAGCGTCACCAGGGGCGACAGTGGCAAGGAAAAACTCCCTAAGAGAAACAGGAAGAAACCTTGAGAGGATCCAAGACTCAGAAGGGGAACCCATCCTCCTCTGGTCGACACCGGATAGTAAACATTGTTAGTACAAAAACAGGGAAAACAGGTGGAGCAAATGATTCATTTGATTAGTTTAGTTCAAGCAGCAGCAGCAGCATCAGTGGGGTCAGGTTGTGAGGGTGAGGTTTGCACGGCGTAGTACAGCATGGAGCTTGATGGTGGTCAAGCCGGTCCAGAGGGCTGGCGAGCAGTGGCACCCAATCTTAAATGGTGCAGCAGTTACATTCTGGTGCTTCAGGCGTCAGAACTGCTACACCCTAGCCCCTAGACGTGAGCGCGCAAAACAGAGGGCTAAGGGCTAAGTGGTAGGGGCGAGGGGTGAAATGGGACTGGGCAAAAAGTTTCAAATGACTGAGTGACGCCAGAGTTTTAGGACTGTAGTGAATTCCAGCTGCTGCTCTGTGTGTAAAAGCAGATTTCTGCCTCTGTAGTTTCGCACTGGAGCTACAGGTAATGTAAGCTTGTACCCACTAATTCTCTCCTTCCCTTCAGAGGCTGGACCTCTCCTTGAAGAAGTGCATCCCCTGGTTGGTCCTGGCAGGATCGGGTGGACTGGCTGACCTGCTGAGTGACGTCCTGGAGAACGTCTCCGCTGCCCCCATTCTGCCAGCAGCGGGGGCAGAGGGCGAGGGGCGAGGTGGCGACCAAAACGGACCTCAGAGAGAGAGTGGCTGAAAGAGTGATGAAGCACTTCCCCTCCGAGCCTGACATGGACAAGCTCGTAGACAAGGTAGCGAACACGGGAGGCTGAGGCGCACATATCAGCTGACACGTTCTAATCTTTTTGGTTCCCTCAGCTAATATAGGTACAGAGTATACGTACAAACGTCACCTAAAATACCACACGTGATAAATTCACTAGAGGAGATGGTGAAATGGGCTTAAGCTTGATGTTTATGAATGTTTTTGTGTGCTGTAGCTGCGCTTGTGTGTTCTCCCTTCTTCCGTTGTGCATCTTTATATGGCTCGTTGTCATGGTAACGTCTACACTATGCAGTTCTCTACGCGTGCGCATCATTTTGGGTGAGATTACTTGTAGTGAGCATGTTAACAGAGATTTCCAGCAGATTGTTGAGTGAACGAGAATAAACATCTCAGTCTGAATCTATAATCGGTATGTATTTAATCGGATTGGCAAAAATCTTTGCATGTAAACACAGCCAATGACCACTTAGTGTAGACGTTACCATGACAACCAGCATCACGTGAGTCCAGTCAGAGTGAGATGAGCAGCAGTGAGCAGTGCTTGTGTTTTTACTGCTTTAAAATGATGTCAGACTCAGGAAAACGTCCTTCACATGTCCTTATTAAAGGACGCCGAGAGGAAGACGTCGTGTTCTGAGACACATAAGCTGGACGTCCGTCCCACCGCCGTCTTTTAAAGATCAGAGCATAAACTTCGTCTCCTCTGCAGACCAGTTTCTGCTCCGCCATGTTGAACGGTATAAACTTTCACTATGACGCGACGAACATGATCAGAACGGACTTAAACTTTCTGATAGGGATATTATTCTTCTATTTAACGGATTATTTACAGGATTAAACACCTCGTTCAATCAGATAGAAACTGTATTCTGAATGGCCTCAATCGGAATAGAATAGACTAGCTATTAGTCTGATTATTAACAGATTATTAGGCTGCATGTAAACATGGCTATTGATTATTAATGCCTGTTATAATTATTGGTAATTATTGATACCACATGTTCATGATACGATTTTTGGTCATATCACCCAACAAATATGAGGCAAATGAGGATTTAGGAATGAATAATGTCTGGGATTAAATCAGTTTCCATTAAACAGAGGCTGTTGGCTGAGTGAGATCAGAAATGCCTTAAAGCTACATTTTGTGAAGCGCTAAACAGTCTGTCTGTCCAGACTCCTCCCAGAAGTCTCTCCTCTCCTCACGTCTCAACTCATATTAACTACATCAAACCTTTAATCTCCATTTCCAGTGTTTCAGAGTCACTTCAGTCTTGTTCTCTGTCTAATTTCAACAGGTTCTGAGTATTTACCAGAGCAAAGACCTATTCTCCATCTACCACGGAGAGCAGGAGGGTCCAGACGACTTTGATACTGTGCTGCTGAAGGCTCTGGTCAGGGGTGAGTTCCCTGAATGGTGCGTCACATTTCTAATGCTTAATGCCTGCACGGTGGTGTAACATGTGTTTGTATGTGTGATAGCAAGTAAGCTCAAGTCAGTCGACTCCAGCCCCAGCACTGAGGAACTTAAGTTGGCTCTGACCTGGAACAGAGTGGACATCGCCAGGAGTGAGCTCTTCACCGGAGACATCCAATGGAAGGTTAGGATTGTGGGAAATGACGCAGTTCTCAGTAGGCCAGTCATGATCAGTGGCACATAAATAGTTGCGATTGACGTTTTTTTTTTTGTTCAGTCTATGCAACTGTAAAAAAAGCCTAAGCCTGTTAAAGTGACCTGTTCAGCTATTTTACTCACCGCTGCCCTCCAAAGGTGTTAACTAGAGATGCACCAATATCACTTTTTCCCTTCCGATACTGATACCGATACCTGTTCCTTTAGTTTCGGCCGATACTGAGTACCAATACTGATACTAACTCTATTTATCTAACCGAACTCACCTATAAGTCCTGATATTTATACAGTTACATTTTTTAAATATTTTATTTTGGTAAAATCTTTGTTCTACGTCACACACTCAGCTTTGCTAGATGGCATTTTTAAAATATTTATTAGATGTTTAAGAAAACTTATGTGTGTATTTACTGTGTATATTTAGTATTTACTACTATATAATTCGTTTTATTAGTACTATTATATAAAAATATCTTTATTGTGCAAAACAGTTCAAAACAAACTGAACAGTATACAGATAAACCTGTGGTGCACACAGCAGCTTCTCTGGCTCAAAAATGGAGCTGAATGTTGTTTTACATCCAGATTTCTCGAGTCATTTGTGTCATATGTGCGTCTTTGTCACTCGCGCTGCATCTCTGAGCATCAGTTCAGTAAATACCACCGTCGTTCACGCTGACAGTATCAGTGACTTTCAGTGTTTTCTTCTGGCTTGGTGGAAGCAACGGGCCGCGAGACCCCCGCTGCTGAGTGATACAGCTGATTGACGGAGGTGCACCGCTGGTGGGGCTACTGGACACACAGGTCTGGCTAGCGGGCTGCGATGCTAAAGGCTAAATTGAGGCTAAAGCTATCATTACGCCAAGAGTCCGGCGGTTCCTTCCACTCTCTCAGTAACATTAACTCAGACTGTAACTGACCACACAGCAGCAAGCTATTACAGAAGCAGCTCAGCCGTCCGGGTCAGCGGCTCCGTAACACCAAAAACTGCTGTTACAGATTCTGCCAAGAGCATTTTTACTGCTGCTTGTTGTCCCAGGTATCGGTATGCAGTATCCCCATCACCGATACCAATACAGTGTTTAAGTGCTACAGTATTGGTATCAGTGCAACACTAGGGTTAGCAAACATCAAATAAACAAACATTACTCGCCGCCGCCCTCTAAAGGTGTTAAGTGTCACGTCTGAGTCGAGTCACGAGTCAGGTTAACATGCAAGTCAAGTTGGACTTGAGTCCGATTTTCCATATCTGTCAAACCCTGCGTTCCCACCAGCAGCTATTGGCTTAATAAGTACATCACAAGAACATTATAACAGACACATAATGTGTTACCATTTGTGTTTATGTGTGAATGATGGAATCTCCTGATCACAGAGTGAGGACCTGGAGGGCTTCATGACTGACGCTCTGGTGAACGACAAACCGCAGTTTGTGCGCCTCTTCACTGAAAACGGCCTGAACATCCTGGACTACCTGACGTACGGTCGGCTGGAGGAGCTGTATCGCTCCATCTCGGACAGCTGCCTGACCTACACTCTGCTACAGCGGCGCCTCTCAGAGCGGCAGGGTGCGGCCGCTGTCAGCACTGATGTTTTAAACGATGCCGCCAGGCAAGCCAACGCACTTACCCTTTATGAGGTGAGGATGGAGGAGTATGGCTTAAACTGGACAACTACAGATACGCCCTGACCTGATCTTCTGAACACTGTAAAACAGAGAAACAGACTGTCCGTCCTCTGAACTAAATGAATGTTCTCATTTGAACGTCTGTCCAGGTGTCTCAGCTCCTGGAGGACCTGCTGGGTGACGTGTGTGAGCCATTCTATCGTGATTCTTTGGGTCTGGAGGGCATCACCTCTAGAAGGAAAACCATCAAGGTGCTGCAATTTGTATTGCTTAAAGGCCACATATACTGTGGAAAAAAAAGTAATTTGCCTTACTTAGTTAGCTTTTTATATGTGTATATATATATATATATATATATATATATATATATATAAAGCTAACTGAGTAAGGCAAATTACTAAGTAAGTAAGGCAAATTATAAACATATATATATATATATATATGTATGTATGTATATATGTTTATAGCAGTGGGTAGCCCTGTCACCTTACAGCAAGAAGGGTCTGGGTTCGATTCCCGGCCGGGTGACCAGGGTCATTTCTGTGTGGAGTTTGCCTGTTCTCCCCGTGTCTGTGTGGGTTTCCTCCGGGTACTCCGGTTTCCTCCCACAGTCCAAAAACATGCAGTCAGGCTGATTGGACATGCTGAATTGCCCCTAGATGTGAGTGTGTGTGACTGTGTATGTCTGTTTGTCTGCCCTGAGATGGACTGGGGACCAGTCCAGGGTGTATCCTGCCTTCCGCCCAATGACAGCTGGGATAGGCTCCAGCACCCCACCGCGACCCAGAAGGATAAGCGGTTTAGATGATGTATATATGTATATATATGTGTGTACATATATATATATATATATATATATATATATATATATATATATATATATTTACACACTGCAAAAAATGGCATCTTGTCAACAAGTGAAACAATCTTAAATGTAGTCGATTCATCTATTTCTCTTTTTGAGATGGTTGTGCACTCATTATGAGATTATCTTATCCTAATGATTTTATTTATTACTGTTATTATCAATAATAATATTAATAATAATAATAATAATAGTAATTTTAGCCACATAGTCATAACAGTAATGCTTATTATTATAGTCATGTTTGTTGTTGTTGTTATTACTATTGCCATTAGCTATTTCTGTGTGTAACGTATCATTATTGTATGCACAGTGTAAATATTGAGTGTTATACTGAATATTGAATGTTTTTTGTTGAAATTTTTGCTCGGTTTATTTTTTCTCCTTCAGAAACTGACGAAGATCTTGCATGAAGATTACGGCTATAGGAAGCGCAGGTGTCCTTACCCGTGGGCTTCTCTCTTGATCTGGGCTGTGCTGCAGAACCGTGGCGAGATGGCGGTGTACTTCTGGGAAATGGTAACTTAGCACAAGCGGATCAGGCGACTGGCTTTGTTTGTTACTCTTGTCTGTCTAAATCTCAGCAGTGACTGAGGGACATCAAATATGAGCTTTTAGACACGCTGCAGAATCTACAGGGGAATGTCTGTCATGACAACTCATGACAGTATATGACATCTGCTATGACATGTTTGATTGTCAGCATGAATGTAGCAGGATACAAGTGAAGTGTTGCAGAGTTTAAATCCAGAGTTATCATTTCACAACACTACTTAATAATAATGACTTTAATAACAGTAACTTTATCAAATCATAATAAAATGTCTCTCCTTCTATTTACAAACACAAACATAGTGTGGATTAGAACTTTATTCTGGCCTTTTGTTCGAATCCAAATACAGCTTGAGAGTGTTCTGGCTAAGCCCGACCCTCATCAAATTGACTTCAGCATTTGTGGCATTAATAGCCATAGTTAGACTGTGGATGAAATCTTAAATTATATAAAATAATGATATAGTAAATTAATCATCTGTCTAAAATGAAGTTTGAATCCTGCAGTTGTATTCATCAAGCAATGCTTTTAACCAACATGGGCCGTGTCTACCGTTGTGTAGCATCTCCTATTCTTTTAACAACAGTCTGTAAACGTCTGGGAAGTGAGGAGACCAATTGCTGGAGTTTTGGGAGAGGAATGTTGTCCCACTCTTGTCTGATGTAGGATTCTAGCTGATCAACCTGAGTCTTCTTTGCCGGATTTTTTGTTTCATGATGCACTAAATGTTTTCTGTTGGTGAAAGGTCTGGACTGCAGGTCTCGGACTCTTCTTCTGTGAAGCCATGCTGTTGTGATGGATACAGTATGTGGTTATCATTGTCTTGCTGAAATATGCAAGACCTTCCCTGAAAGAGACGCTGTCTAGATGGGAGCATATGTTGTTCTAAAACCTCTATATGCTGTTCAGCACTGATGGTGCATTTCCAGATGTGTAAACTGCCCACGCCATAGGCACTAATGCAGCCCCAGACCATCAGAGATGCAGACTTTTGAACTGTGCACTGATAACAAGCTGGACGGTCCCTCTCCTCTTGAGGCTGCAGGACACGGCGTCCCTGAATTTCAAATTCTGATTCATCTGACCACAGAACAGTTTTCCATTTTGCAATGTTTTTCTCAGATTGGTGAACCTCTGTCCATCCTTGCTTCTGAGAGACTCTCTAAAATGCTCTTTTTATACTCAGTCATAGTATAAAATAATATTATAGTCAGAGTTAGTTGCAAATTCTCCAGCTGTTTTTTATTAGTAACACTTACTTTTCCAGCCTTTTGTTGCCCCTGTCCCAACTTTTTTGAAATGCGTTGCTGCCATCAAGTTCTAAATGAGTTAATGTTTTTCATGAAATGGTGAAATGACTCACTTTCAGCATCTGATATGTGTTCAGTGTTCTGTTGTGAATAAAATATGGGTCTATCTTTAGCTCACTAAGTTTCTCTGATTCTGAAACTGTTCTGTGTGGGTGGGCAAGAGACACAGCCTTCTGATTGGTCAATGCATACGAATGCATACGAAAGCAATAAACAAGATTAGGACCGCCCAGTTTACAGAAAAATATGAGAGGAGAAAAACATCGCTGTTGTCGGAACAAAACCTCGTATCTCCAAAATGGTAACTTTATAGGAGAAGGAAAAAACACACTTTACTTTTAATGTAAGTCAATGGAACCAGAATTTTTCCCAAGTAATTTTGGGTCGTTTCTTTTGGTCCATTCATCATGAAATTTACACACAGTGTAAAGAGCAACAGGTATTTTTAAACTATGCCAAAAACTGAAAAACAACAAAAATGGAGATTTTGTTCTGACAGCAGCGATATGGTGAAATATATTAGTCATTTAGTGGTCACTGGAACATTAGTCAAAGGGTTACTTAGTACATGTTTACTGTTTGCCTGCAAGAACAAGAACCTAATTAGAAAGAAAACACAGTTTTAGGGTAACTGGGACTTTAGGAAGTTCCATTCAGAACCTGACTGAACCTGTCCTTTTGTTACTGCTTGTGATAACTGTGGTATTCAAAGGTTAAATCTCTATCTCCCTCTCCTTCTCTCTCTCTCTCTCTCTGTCTCTCTCTCTCTCTCTCTCTCTCTCTCTCTCTCTCTCCCTCCTGTCAGACGACAGAGTCGGTGCTGAGTGCTCTGAGTGCCTGTAAGCTGCTGAGAGAGCTCTGCAAGCTGGAGAGTGAGACTGAGACCAAGCTGTCCATGAAGGAACTGGCCCAGAGGTTTGAGAACCTGGCCCATGGTATGATGTATGTGTTTGTGCGTCTTTACGCTGGGAATTGAGCGTCGGTGTCTCACTGGACTCTTTAACTTTGTTTATTTCACACTTTTGATTCCGTCTCCCGTAGATGTGTTCAGTAAGTGCTACCAGAGCAGCGAGAGTCGATCCTTCGTGCTCCTGAAGAAGAAGTCGGCCGTGTGGAGAGGGACCACGTGTCTGAAGATGGCCATGGAGGCTGACGCTCGCCACTTCTTCAGCCACGACGGCGTGCAGGTCTGTCTGAACCGTATTATCTATAAGGCCTTGGATTCAACACAGCTACCACTGATTATGGAGAGACTGGACGTCTTACTTTCTAAATGACAGATTTTCATGCACACTACCTAACACTGCTATAAGAAGTAGGAAATTAACTACATTAGCTTGTCCTCCACTCTAAGGCTTCATTACGTCTTATCTGTTTACCATCAGTTACTTGCTGTATTAACTTTTTCACTGGCTGGTGACAAGATCCATTCAGAGTCGAGTTGTTGACCAGCAATACAGTACTAGATTACATCCAGAGTCATTCATTCATCATTTAAGTCACTTATCCTCCTGGGTCACAGGGGGAGCTGGAGCCTATCCCAGTGTTCATTGGATACAAACACCCAAAACAGGCAGCCAGTCCATCACAGCGATGTGACACACAGACAACCCAGGCCCTTCTTACTGTGAGGCAACAGTGTGCCCCCACATCCAGAGTCCACAAAAAATCCGACACAGGGCTGGCGAGTGGCACAGCTGTCCAACTTTTGGCTCCATTGGCTTCCCCAGATTGCTGTTAGTGCTCCTCCAAGCAGGCTGAGGGCTGAGATGTCCAATGATGATGTGTTATCAGAAGTTTGAAAGACAAATAACCAAAATCAGTGTAATTCTTTCTAAAAAAAAAAAATATATACACGCACGCACGCACGCACGCGTATATATATGGGCGGCATGGTGGCGCAGTGGGTATCGCTGTCGCCTCACAGCAAGAAGGGCCTGGGTTTGATTCCCAGTCGGGCCACCAGGGTCATTTCTGTGTGGAGTTTGCCTGTTCTCCCCGTGTCTGCGTGGGTTTCCTCCGGGTACTCCGGTTTCCTCCCACAGTCCAAAGACATGCAGTCAGGCTGATTGGACATGCTAAATTGCCCCTAGGTGTGAGTGTGTGTGACTGTGTATGTCTGTCTGTCTGCCCTGCGATGGACTGGCGACCTGTCCAGGGTGTATCCTGCCTTCTGCCCAATGACAGCTGGGATAGGCTCCAGCACCCCACCACGACCCAGAAGGATAAGCGGCTTAGATATTATATATTCAAAAAATGTAAAATACCAAACAATGAACATTGTAGGCTTTATTGTATATATTGTAATATGAAATATGAATAAATAATATAGTTAGTTTTTGTTTAAACCATTTAGATGATGAAACAAAGACATAAATGTATAAACATTAGTTTTAACTAAACTGCTTGTGAAGATCATAGTGTAGATTATCAAACAATCAGAAATCAAACATTAAACCTCGCGTTTCTCGCACACCTCTCCCTTTTTTTTTGCTACTCCAACTTCCCTAAAAACCTGCTAGACTACTATAGACTCTGACTGTGAACTCCAACTTTGGGGTAAAACCCATATAATACAACCCTGACTTTGTCAGAGTTAAGATGTTCTTTGTTTTGAGTATGATAAACTTAATCTAAACGTTAATAATAATGTAAACTTTAATATCACTCCTCTCACTCCAGGAAACTGCTGAGCTGTTTTACTCAGAGTTGGGAACTCCTCATAGCCTGTCTGGTGTTCGTGGTTTTGATGTTTGTGGTTTTTCTTGCTGAGGTAATAGTTCGTTTGTTTGTGTCAGACTCTGTTGTCTCAGATCTGGTGGGGTGAGATGGACAGAAGCACAGAGGCGTGGAAACTCGTCGTCGTCCTGTTCCTCCCTCCTCTCTGCTACACCAACCTCATCTCTTTCAGGTTCTCAAAGCCTCATCCTCCCACCTTTATAATATAGATCTGCATTCCTTAAGCATCTCTGCCAGAGTGAACTCATACACGTAAAGGGGAATTCCACCAATTTTTAAAAAATTCAGAATAATTATGTCCTTGTGAAGTAATTCAGAGTGGTTTGATGTCAAATGGTTAATTGTAGAGAAACTGACTAATTTCTTTACAGTGGTGGTGATAGGAACCAGGGGTCTCCATGACTACAACACAGATATAGACATTTTATTTACTATCCAAACCCACCAGTGAACCTACACAAGTCTTCTGAGGTATTATGTGGAATGTTGATGATGGAAAATAGTGGAAAATGTAAAATAATAAGTTTTCCTGTAGGGACTATTTTGCCTCACAACACCATGTCTGTACTCCTCCACTATGAACTGACTTAAAAATGCATTTTAGGCCAAAACCTTTTTAAAACTATCATAAAACAGTGTCTCAGTCATCAGGCAGTGAATTCATAACCATTTCATGTAGTAACTTTCTGTGAGGGAGCTTTTAGAGGTGGACGTCTGGTTCCTATCACCACCACTGTGAACAATTCTGACTCTAAGTTTCTCTAGAACAGGGCGTTTCACACCAAACCACTCTGAATGACTCTGTTCACATCTCTAACATTTAATCATGTAGAGTTCTTGAAAAATGAGTGGAGTTCCCCTTTATTTAATCAGTGCTGACATTTATTCATTCATTCATTGGATGAAGGAGAAATTGTGTCAGTTGTTTTTTTTTCTCGAAATACCCCTTTAATGACAGTATTTTGGGTTATTCTTTTAAAAGTTACAAGTACAGTTTAAATTCTACAGGAAGTTTCATTTTAAGCATTAGTCATCAGCTTGTCTCCTTTTTCCGAGCCATTAGATCACTGTTCTGTCTGTTCTGCAGAGAGGTGGAGGAGGCTGACGAGGGGAAGCCTGAGGAGGCCCCACAGGGGAAGGAAATGGACTGGCTCTACGCCGAAACGGTCTACTCTTTCTCTGACATCAAGCGCATGTAACTGCCCTCAGCTCTGTCCTGTATGTGAAAATATGTTAATGTATCAGGAATGTGTGGTTTATTTTGCATTGCCCACACAGCGCAGGGTTTACCCACTGGTTAAACAGGTTTGGCGTGCATTGATGTAGATCATAGTGGAATAGGTGTGGTGTGGGTTCACATAAAACCACAAACAATGCTACATTAATTTTGCTTTATAAAAATGGCTTCAAGTGTTCATAACTGCAGGTGACCAGGCATAAAGTATCTGTCCAGTGCAGCTCTATATAGGGTTAAAGCCCAACTCTGTCTCTGATTTCTCTCTGTGTTTTTCCAGTCAAGCAAAATCAGAGGAGTCAGGTGCCACAAGACCCACTACAAGAGGTATATTGAAAGAAGATTTAAATGTAATAAATATCTCATAATACATGATGGGACCATACAAATGCTATCTGACACGCTTAGCTGCAGTTAGTGATGATGTAGCTGCGCTTACCGCTGAACTTCAACACTATTATATGAAACAGAGCCAATTCTAAGTGGAAAATGAATAGAGAACTTCTTTCCTAACTACATTTACTGCCCAGTATGCATGTAGATTTGATTGTCCTTGGCTGATCAAGACACATACAGTACTGTGCAAATCACCCTCAAGAGTCAAGACCTGGTAGACCCCCATCAGATAAACGGCACTTAAAGCTTTCATCTCTGAGAGAGAGGAGAAAATCAAGCTGCTTCAGATCTGAAAACATCCACAGGTGTTTCTGTCCATCCTTCCACTGTGAGAAGACGACTCAGCGCTGTGGGTCTGAAAGGATGTGTAGCTGATCAAGAAGAACCTCACTGAGAAAAGGAGACGGACACATGATTGGCTGGCTGGCTCACTCACTCGCTCATTCCCCTCAGTGTCGCTGCTGGACTGAGAATAGTCCAGTAGGAGTGTCTAATAGAGTGGACAATGAGTGGACACGGTGTTTAAAAACTCCAGCAGCACTGCTGTGTCTGATCCACTCGCACCAGCGCAACACACACTAACACTCCACCACCACGTCAGTGTTACTGCAGTGCTGAGAATGATCCACCACCCAAATAGTACCTGCTCTGTGAGGGTCCATGGGGGTCCTGACCACTGAAGAACAGGGTAAAAGGGGGCTAACAAAGTATCAGAGAAACAGATGGACTACAGTCTGTAACTGTAGAACTACAAAGTGCACCTATATAGTAAGTGGAGCTGATAAAATGGACAATGAGTGTAGAAACAAGGTCATAATGTTATGCCTGATTGGTGTGTATCGTTGTTACAACATACTTCCTCGTAATAATGAGAGACTTTCTAGTAATTGTGAGATGTTTTTCATAATTACAGCATAACATCCTGCAATAACAACATGCGGTGTAATTTTTATCCTGTTTGGCAGCAAAATGCGACCGTACTGATCTCTAAAAAGCAAAGTAAAAATGAATAACTTTAAACGTCCATCCTCTTTTTTGTCTTTTAATATTTATTGATGACTCTGTTATCGTCTCTCGTCCTGTATCATTCACTGGTGGAGTCCTCATTGATTTAAGAGCTCATGTTTAGTTCCTGCTGGTTTGTTATTGTTGTGATTTTGGTTTATTTGTGTTTATTATATGTTTCCTTCTCTCTCTCTCTCTCACCTCAGGCCATCCTGTCAGGCTGCCCCCCTCAAAGCGGCCCTTCCTGCTGTCCCGTTGGAGGCAGTTCTGGTACGCTCCGGTCACCGCGTTTCTGGGCAACGTGCTGATGTACTTCCTCTTCCTGCTCCTGTTTGCCTACGTGCTATTGGTGGACTTCAAGCCGCCGCCCCCCAAAGGCCCAGCTCCACTGGAACTGCTGCTGTATTTCTGGGTGTTTACCATCGTGTGCGAGGAGATTCGAGGGGTGAGCACTCACACGTGAGCCTGATATCGTTTCAGAGACACACGAGTTGCTGAGTCAGAGTATTTTCCTTTAACGCGTGTGGAGCAGGACATGAGTAAACCAAAGGAACCATTTCCTGTTTGAAAAAGTAAACAGTTACACACAGACTCATTCAAGAAAGGCCAGGAAGTGCTAGTATCAGTCTACTGTGACCACACAACTGATGTGACCTTCAGCCTAAAGGAAACTACATAAGCCAGTCAATTTTAAGGTTACTGAGTTGTTAAATCGTCTCAAATCTATTCGGCTGTGTATCTGTATGACATATGGGTTCTTCTGTTGATGCAAGCTTGCCATCATAAACCATAGCAGAACCCTTTTTGGCGCTATATAGAACCATTTTCAAACCACAGTCCATTCTCCATCAATCAGAAGAACCATTTTAACATGCAAAGAACCCTTTAAAACAATTAAATCGTTGTTTATACGACTCCTGGTTCCAAAAACAACCATTGCCTTTACTTAAGAACCCTTAAAGAACCAGTGTGAACGTAAGTTAGATCACTTTTCACTGAATTATTCCTTTAATGAGTATTTAAAGCACAGAAATATGTCATTAAACGTGTACATGTGTCTGAATGCATGTATGAGGAAGGAGGGAAAACTGACCGTCTCCTTCTCTCCTTCTCAGACGTTCTTTGTGGGCAGCATGACTCTCCGTCAGAGGATACGGCAGTACGCTCAGGACGTCTGGCACAAGTGTGACCTCATCGCCATTAGCCTCTTCCTCATTGGCTTGTGCTGCAGGTAATGCTGTCTTACTGGATGGTCATCTCTTTTCACCTCCTAGACAGATGCTCATCCCACGTCATATTCACATTTCCAGACATGTTGGCCAGATACGCATTTAAGGCAAAACAGTTTTAAATTATGATTTTGATCCCTCAACGAATTTGTCAGGTTTTTGGATTAATTGCATCCATAACATCTCGTCACTCAAACCGCAATAGTAAAAACGTCAACAGAGATGCATTGGAGTCAGCATCTGGAGTCGGTTCGCGCTCACTCGTCTTGATTTTAATGAAGATGTAGCTCCACCACATTCGTGTCCTGTCATATATCACTGATAAGCTTGTTTCCCGTAGAATCCAGTGTCTGAATGCCAAAGGCTGCATTTACATTATCAGGCTGAAACTGGATGGATGGATGAATGGATGGATAGACAGATGGATATATGGATTTATAGATGGATGGATGGATGGATATATACATAGATCGATAGATGGATACATACATAGATGGATGGAACGATGGATGGATAGATAGACGGATGGATATATGGATTTATAGATGGAAGGATGGATGGATATATACATAGATCGATAGATGGATACATACATAGATGGATGGAACGATGGATGGATAGATAGACGGATGGATATATGGATTTATAGATGGATGGATGGATATATAGATTTATAGATGGAAGGACGGATGGATATATACATAGATCGATAGATGGATACATACATAGATGGATAGATGGATACATAGATGGATGGAACGATGGATGGATAGATCGATAGATGGATACATAGATACATAGATAGATGGATACATACATAGATGGATGGATAGATAGATAGATGGATACACAGATGGACGGAAGGATGGATGGAATGATGGATGGATGGATGGATATATACATGGATAGATAGATAGATAGATAGATAGATAGATAGATAGATAGATAGATAGATAACCTTTCATGACTCAGTTTGACTTAAAGAAAAACAGAAGAAATCATGATTTTTAGATCTTCAGATACTGCATAAAACGCTTAAGCTGTTATGATATAGACACTATTAGATTTTGCATATTAATAAGGCTGTTTTCTAATTTTCAAATCCAAGACAAAACGTCGTGTTTTGGACATGAAAGTGAAAGAATCTCATTTTTTAGATCTTTCTTTTTTGTTTTTTTCTCTTGTGCCCTGGAGCCTCAGAACCTGTGTGCCGTGCTTTGGTTGCCTGTATATTACAGAATCTTAGATTCATTTCTGTGGCGAACCCGACGCCTGCACTGCTTATAGAAAACGTAACATTTGCTACTAGATCTCATGTGCGCTGTTTCTGCTGTTTTCTGTCTCAGGATGTTCAGAGACACTTTCTGGTTTGGCCGTGCTGCCCTGTGTCTCGACTACATGGTCTTCACCCTCAGACTCATCCACATCTTCGCCATCCACAAGCAGCTGGGGCCCAAAATCATCATTGTGGGCAAAATGGTGAGTGTGAAGGCCAGTCTTAAAGAAACTTAAAGAAGGCTGTCAGAGTTTTTGTCCAGCAGGTGGAGTTGTTGCTCTGACTCACTGTCAAGCCTGGTTCTGGTGTTCATAGTATTGATTACGTCATTAACGTCTCCATGTTGGTAGGTGAGCTGTAACTCTGACTGTGCTCTGATGGAGCTCGACTCATCACCGTTACTGCAGATACAGCCTTGCAGGTGGATAAAAACCAACGAAACAGAACAGAGTGACCACGAAAAACATGAGAAGATATGTGGATGTTTTAGACGCGTCTCCAGAAAGCACTACGAAGAGGAGATTAGCTAGATTGGTGGACTGGATCTGTATAGGCTGCATTTCTCTAGAGTTCCGAACATTCCAGTGTGTGATATTTTATAAAAACTAATAAAAGTGGCAACAAAACGCTTTATTATTTAAGAGCCAAAGCTCTTATATAATAAACTTATACATAGCCATATGTTAAGCTCAAGTCAGCTTGTCATTTGCCAGCTTGTCATTTAAATTTTTCATTCAACCCAAAACGGTGCGGCAGTTACACTTCGTAGCATGAATTTCGAAAGTTAGTGAATACAAAGCCAACATCAGTCAGCTTACCTTAATAAATGCAATCAATTTACATCAATAAATGCATCAATGTACATGAATAAACACATTCATTTACCAAAACAAATAAATCAATTCACCTCGCACTTCTGTGCTTCACCTACTACACTGATCAGTGCACTTCTAACTGTATATGTGTTAATTTTACTCTTTGGTGTGCTAGTATGCGGTTTGGGACCCGAAGATAAAGCAGCGGGAAATCTCAGCCGTTTAGATTTTAGCATTCATTTGTCATCACTACAGCAACAAATCAAATGAAATCAAGTCAATGCACTCAAATACTGGTTAATGTGCTTCAAACCTTTAAAAGTGTTTAAAAACGTGTTTTACTGCCTTTTCTAGATCTGTTATGGCTTTGTTATCTCATTGCAAACAGCCACAGCACTGCTGATTGAACTTAAAGTTGCCTACTAAAATGGTAGCAGTGAGATCATCGGAATACTATCAATAATGGCATTTCTAGCAGCAGCAAACTGTGGCTAAAGAAATGCATTAATGAGCTTTTTTGGGGTGTCGGCCTCTGCATTTGGTTTCCATTATCAGCTGAACGGATAAAAGGTAGCATCCTGTTTGGGCTAACGATGGACTGAGCATACAGAGCACAAGTTAGAAAATTCCGGATGTTTTCAGTGGGTTATAATTTTACGAGTATGATATGAAATGTCAGGACACATTTGCCTCATCGGTTCTCTTGCTTTCCAGATGAAGGATGTGTTCTTCTTCCTGTTCTTCCTGACTGTGTGGCTGATGGCGTACGGAGTAGCCAATCAGGGCCTGATCTACTCCTTCGACCCGAGTGCTGACAGGATTCTGCGTCGGGTGTTCTACAGGCCGTATCTGCATATATTTGGACAGATCCCTGTGGAGGAAATGGACTGTATGTTCTCACTCATCACTTTTATGTTTTGGTGATTCTGAACACTCAGTTACAATTATATTAATCATTACAGTGTAATAATTACATTAAACTGCATTAGGCTGTAATTATTAATTACAGCAATCAAGAATACAGGCCAGTCTTTAAAGAGTCACCATTGATTCACCATTGCATAATCACAGTATTAGTATTTTATCCATATTGTGTAGCCCTGCGGTAACAGGATCAATGTGAACCATCTGTTTCTCTTTGGTTTGTTCTCTTGTGTGTGTGTGTGTGTGTGTGTGTGTGTGTGTGTGTGTGTGTGTGTGTGTGTGTCTGTCTGTTTAGCGGGCTTTGAGTGGGGCGTAACCTGCACAACAAATGCAACGGAAATTGATGAAGGTATGGAACCCTGCAGGGACACCCATCATAACTGGCTAGTGGTCATCTTACTAGTTGTCTACCTTCTGGTCACCAATATCCTACTCATCAACCTTCTCATCGCCATGTTCAGGTAGACACCTACCCATCAGTCAGTTGTCCATCATCACAGGCCAAATGCTTTTGCCAGCACACTAACGCCTCAGCACTTTCCATTCTTTCTGCTTGATTTTTCTCTCCTCCTCCCCTCCTGGCTCTCTCCTCTCTGATTTTCATCCCTCTGTCCAGCTACACCTTCACTAAGGTCCAGGAGCGGAGCGATAAATACTGGAAGTTCCAGCGCTTTAACGTGATTGCGGAGTACCACTCTCGCCCGTGCCTCGCACCACCCTTCATCATCATCTCCCACTTTCACCTCTTCGTCAAAAGAAACATTCGCAAGGTGCCCTCGGAGAAGATCCACCAGTTTGGTAAGCTGTTTTTGTATTTGGTGTCGTTGGTCATCTGTCTTTATCAGTAAGCACTAAAACCTCAGGGAAGCTGACCATGATTTGGATCTGAGCAGGTTAATCTTAGGTTAAACTTAGGTTACTTTTAAAACCTTAACAGATTTCTAAAACGGAGAGCATCACAACTTCACTTAACGTCAGTTTGTCACAGAATTTCCTGTCTTGTTGTCGTGAGGCGCTCAGACTGAGCTGAAACTGTGAAGAGAGTGTTTTGACTTCTGGATCAACACTATAAACATGATATCGGCTCTTATCTGCCTGTGTTTTACACATAGCTCCTCTGTCTCTGCTGTTCATGCATGTCTCTTCGCCTGTTTCTCCGCTCTTCTAGCTCTCTGATTGGCTGTTTGAGTCACTCATTGAGTAAATCTCTGACCGTCTCACACTGCAGGACACGTGAATGTTTTGAGTCGTAAATATCAAACATGTTTGATAATATCGGAGGGTCTCTGATCACTTCAGAGTTCGACCGGAGGGCTAAAGATTCACTCGTTTCTCCTCTCACACTACAAATCATCTGCGCCACCAGTCGCTTCCGATCAAGCTCCCGTCCTGGAAGATCGCTTCAGATGGTGAAAATTTGTCAGAAGGGGCAAAACGGGTTTAAAATCGGGCAAAAAATCGTGTAGTGTGGGCCCAGCTTTACTCTTGTAGGCACACATGTACATGTACAAAGTGTGTGCTGTCATTAACTGTCCAGTACTCAATGAATGGCTGATGTATTTCACCAATTTGGAGGTGGTCTTGGCTGGTTCTTACATAAGTGGTATCTTCACCAGGCTGATGTTACTTGTTCCACCCACAGAGTAGGTGAACTACACTCTCCTCCGGTATCTCTGTTAAAGAAACTTGTTGCGAGAAAGCTAACTACCAAGCGAAAGCTAACCTAGCAGATATAACTGCTATAAGCTTACACCCCACCAATTAGCATTGCTCATGCTTAACTCATCACACACTCACCGCAAACCATGTCAGGTGGTTAAGTAATTTCTATTATAAAGTGGATAGTTCCAGTCCTAAAATCTGATTGGCTGAGCTGCATCAAAAGCTGTTGTAAAATCCACGGTATACGCACACCTGTGTCCACCTAACAGCGACTGAACTCTGTATCACTGCACCACAGCCTGAAAAACCCTTGTGCTGTTAATGGAATAATCTTTGACTTTCATGCTGCTCACATGGAGCACCGAGTCTGCTGATGAAGTAAGAACCTGTTTTTTGTTTAAACTGTGGGGCTGTCAACTTATGTTCTTAACGAGAACTAGGCTGGTCAGCTAGCTAACAGGCTAAAAGAGCCAACGGCCTAAACAGCTCCTTCATTAATATCACAGGCTTGAATTAAAGCACGTACTGTATGATTAACTGTGAAACAAAAGTCGAATAAAAGTCTAAAAATGTCACTTTAATGTTTTACACACTTCAGACGTTTGTGTTTCAGTCAGAAGTCGCATCAAACCCAGGCTGAATCCCAAACAGCTCTGTACTCCCTAAATAGTGTTCTAGCTATGACAGTTTAGAAATTGTAGTGCATCATTTTTAGCTGTATTTTGCTCTGTTGGGCTGCAGGATCCAGTATTTAAACTCCTACGTAGTGCACTATGTAGGGAGCAGGGAGCTGTGTAAGACTCAGCCCCAGTGTGAGAAGAGGGGCGTCGCTGAATTGGTGCTAAATAAGACTTGCTGTGGTAATTTGGTGATCAGAAAGTACTTAAACAACCCTCCCATGACATAATCGCAGTAACGCACGGCCTCTCATGGCTTATTGCTTTAATAGCCTTGGTTTTGTGGTTTCTGATGCTGTATGAGATACTATTATCTATAAACAAAGACAGAAAAAAATGTAAAGATATTTGTGGCCTGTATTTTGTCCGGTCTTTAATCAGTAATATGACGTACAAGAAGTGGCAAATACTCTGAACCAGCACAGTCTCCTCTGCTTGCTGACAGTGTTTAGCACATGGATGTAACTTAGCTTGTACATTTTGTTCTTCCAGCTGTAGAGCTACAGGAAAAAGCCACCAACAGGCTGATGACCTGGGAGAGCATTCAGAAAGAGAACTTCCTGTCTGCCGAGGGCAAAAAGCAAAGAGGGAGTGAAGCTGAGAGGCTGAAGCGAATGTCCGCCAAGTGAGTGCTCCACCCATTCTACACTACATGTAACACACCGCATACCTCTTCACATAGAACAGCGGTTCGGCACCAGGCCGCTCTTTAACTGCCCTGTTGTGGCTCCACAGCAGAATCAGATTTGTAGGTAAAAATAAAATAATCCTCCTTTACAGTAAAATAAAGCTCTGCTGGTCGTTCAACACAGTTTAACAATAAATGGTCTTAAACTCTGGAGTTAATGTAGAACTGCTAATTCACCCTTTAACCCTGAAGATCAGTGCAGACTGCTGGTCACCATAGCAACACAGACAACAATCTCGCCTAGCTAGTAGCTAACGAAACGGCAAAGAGAGAGATTTAAGACCAACATCGATAATTTGGAGACGAATGGACTTATTTGTGTTTATAATCACTCCAGCTGGTTTCCTGATATGTTTAATCTGCAGTGAGAAACTGAAACACTAAAAAGTCACAAGGCGGAAGTCGCTTCTTGTTCAGCAGCTTCTCATTCGAATTTTCCCGTTCCACCTTAAATGGTGCAGCAGTTACATTCTGGCACCTCAGGCACGCGGAAATTCGAACAAGAAGCTGGCGAATGAGAAGCGATTTCAGCCTCATAAAAAGTCAAACATAAAGAGACATTTTACAATAAACTATTCCACTTTTGGAAAAGTTTCCTGCTGGAGATTTGAGAAAAGCGGCTATAGCTGAGCTAAAGCTTAAAGCAGAGCAGAGTAAGTCTGTGTTTTCATTTATATTTTTATCCTACACTAGTACATCAGCACACACTGAGACATATTTACAGCCAAGATGGTAAAATGGACATTACATGTTGTGGCTCCCAAGGTGGTTTGATTTTTTTTGAAAGGACAAAATGGCTCTTCTTAACATTTGGGTTGCGACCCCTGACTAAGAAACACGTTTCAGTAACAGAAACAATACCTGAGTTCAGGATGAACATTTTCAGGATCAGGCAAGGTGAGGGCTCCAGACTAAGCAGTTACAGTTATATATAGTTATGTGGTTATATACTATAAAACATTACTAGAGCAAAGAAAATACTGAATATCCTTTCTACATTGTACAGTTTGTATAGTTTTTTCCTTCATGTGTTTTAACAGAGTGGACGGTGTCCTCAAACAGACTGCTGAGATAAAGGATGTTGATCGTAGATTACGAGCGCTTGAGACGGAGGTATGTCTTCTGATTAGAGAAAACTACCACATGATTTGCACAGTGGAGAATTGTTAGATTAAGGCAGCTGTACTTGTGGTATAATCCTGAAGATTCACTCATTTAACACTAATTGCCTTTAAACCATTGAAGCTCTTGGATGAGAGGCAGAAAATCTTCAAGATTATACCAGACGCCTTGACTTACTACAACTACACAATTCCCTCACTCATCCCCTCCCTCTCTCTCTTCTCTCTCTCTCTCAGATGGAGTTCTGTTCTGCTACTCTCCTGTGGATGGCTGAAGCTCTCTCTCAGAGCGGTGTGCTGAAGGCCTCCAAGCCTCCTCCCACACGCAAAGGCAATTTCACATTCTCCATTGCACACATACATACATACATCATCTAAACCACTTATCCTTCTGGGTCGCAGTGGGGTGCTGGAGCCTATCCCAGCTGTCATTGGGCGGAAGGCAGGATACACCCTGGACAGGTCGCCAGTCCATCGCAGGGCAGACGGACAGACATACACATTCACACCTAGGGGCAATTTAGCATGTCCAATCAGCCTGACTGCATGTTTTTGGACTGTGAAGGGAAACCAGAGTACCCGGAGGAAACCCACGCAGACACGGGTAGAACATGCAAACTCCACACAGAAATGACCCTGGTCACCCGGCCGGGAATCGAACCCAGGCCATTCTTGCTGTGAGGCGACAGCGCTACCCACTGCGCCACCGTGCCGCCCAATTCTCCGTGGCAGTTATTCTTAAATGGTCTCGCATGGCTGGAAATAATTGTCCGCTGGTGTTGCAAAGACAGCAACCGAGTAAACAGACTTTCCTATAAGGTCTTTGACAAATATGAAGGATTTTTTCGTCACCAGTTTTCCAGTCAAGCCTCGTCACACACATTTCGCGAGGTGACAAGATGGGATGTGTGACATTTGTGCTTTAGAGCCTTACTGTTCTTTAGTTACTATTTTTAAGGTTTATATTATTATTACCAAACTGATCCGTTATGTAATTATGACAGGAACTGATGTGTTGGCCTAGAAACAGGCCTTTGCAGGTTAAGGGGCTTCCATTAGCCTGTGCTGAACGGGGAAATATGTATTTATAGTATATATACACACACACACACACTTCCTCTCCCTCTCCCTCTCTCTCTCCCTCTCTCTGTCTGTGTGTGTGTGTGTGTGTGTGTGTGTGTGTGTGTGTGTGTGTATTTATTTATTTATATATTTATTTATTTTCATTTTCTATATTTTACATTATGAAGGAACTCCTAAACAAAGTAAACAAAAAATGTTAAACAAACCAAAATATTTTATACTTTAGATTCTTTAAGACAGCCACTATTTGTTTTGATGACAGCTTTGCACACTCTTTTCCAAACTTTTGACTGGGGTGTGTGTGTGTGTGTATATATATATATATATATATATATATATATATATATATATATATATATATATATAGCTACTGTCAGAACAGTAAATTTCAATTTTTGACATTTTTTTCAGTTTCTGACGTAACTTAAAAATGTAAAGGGAAACAGCATTATGTGTAAATTTAATGATGAATTGACACAAAGAAATGACCCAGAATTACTTAGAAAAAAGTCTGGTTTTATTGACTTACATTAAAGAAAAAGGTTTTTTTCCTTCTCCTGTAAAGTGACAGTGTTTTGTTCCGACAGCAGCTATAATATATATATATATATATATATATATATATATATAATGTACGGTATTTCTGAGTGAGAAATGCCCTGACGTTATTTTTTCTATTTGTTCTCTCTTTGCAGTCAGCCCCTCCTCCCTGGAGAGCTGAGAAGGGAGTCCCCTGCCGTCTCTCCTTCACTCCCTCTCTGGCACAGAGGTGTGAGAGAGAAACTGACTGATGTCTTTCGTCGGCGTCTGTTTTACGAGTTTGTGGAGAAGCAGGCGAGCATTGTTCTCGTTTTCCATTTTTAAGCTGCCATTGTCCTTCATGTTCTTGGGAACTGCGAGTTCCACAGGAGAACAGAAGATGGGAGCACAGGGGAACAGGGCAGAACTCAGGACTACATTTTTACACCATGAATGCTGTCATGCACCAAGAATACATCTGTGTGGACTGAGGAGTGCGATGCTCCACACACCCAAAGAAACACCCTTCATTGTTTTGCGTTGTTTAGTTGTGTGATTTTGCAGTATTTTTGTGAAAATTTGTAATTTATTTTTTACACTGAAGATTTCTCTAAAGCGAAATTATATCTGTCCAGTTTTTAATAGATTTGCTGCTTCATTTGCGTTGAATGATGTGGCAAAACCATGAGAACCGTATCTGTGCGAGTAAAGGCAGGCTATAGGCCACATGTATAAATCTGCAAGGAATTAATTAGTGTGATGAGTTTTTAGAGGGTATATTTACCTTCAAAGTACCACTGTATAGATATTATATTTGCACTATTACGACAATATTGGTCTTTATGATTGAGCGCCACCCCCACTAAGGTTGAACCCCACCAAAATAAGGACATATTGAAACTCAAATGCTGTTATTAAGGAATAACTGAGAACTGCAAGTTGGCTTACAAACTTGATTCGTTATGATTGTAAAAAACTACTTCACGATCTTAAAGAAGCGACAGCTTTGTGAAAAATCACATTAATATAATTTCTATAGCCACCTCAAAGGCTGTTTTGAGCTGTGACACACCTTTATCCATTATATCAGTGGAGAACCACAGGGCCCTCAGAAATAGCTTAGTGCTGAAATACTACTAGAATCCCATAGGGGCGCTAGCAGAAATTAGCATCGTTATAGAGTTGTTTTTCTCATTTTTGACGAAGTTTTGACCCAGATTGAAAGCCTGGCTCTGATAGTGACTATTCCCCCCTGATTTTTGTAGATAACAGTTTGTCATACAGTGGCAGAGACCACATAAGCAAGTCTGTGATTCAGACATTGGGTGTTAGCTTTGATTATGTGTTAGCTAGATTAGCCATGTAGCTCCAGTGCAAAACTAAAGAAGCAAACTTCAGACACCAAACCTGGTTGTGACAACGTGAGTTTACACAATCTATCGATTCAAACTGTTACTTTGTGTTCAAGAGCTGTTATTTGCTGTTTACCATGAAACTAGAAATAAGAGGAGTTTATGCTCTTCCGGTGAATCAGACAGCAGGGCAAGGTGGATTTTATAGAGTGCGTTTACAATCACTGAATACTCCGATCATAATCAGATTTCTGCAGTTATGATTATTCGAATAGTCGTGTAAACAGCACACTCTGATTTCTCAGATCAAAGTAAGGTCTAGAAATCTGATTAGGAAAACTCTTCTCAGGACTTCTCAGTCTGTGCATGTGTGAAAACAGACGGCGGTACTGGAAATAAGCGAGCAGCGTTAACTAGGTGACGTATATTCATATCTTCAGATAAAGTGCAAAAAAAAAGCCGCGGCATGAAGTTTGAGTTTTACTTTACGTTTTTACGTCACGTCTTCTTCTGTGAGTTTATTGGATATCCGATTACTGTCTACCTCATGTAGACCTGGAGTTGCCCTATTATCTGATAACTCAAGTGCATGTAAACATGTTGATCGGATTACTGACGAAATCTGATTTTCTGCAGTTATCGGATTAGTAAGGGCATGTAAACACTCAGTGTTAACAGCTGAATCTTCTTTTCTCTGCTGGCTCTGAATTTAGTTAACTCATCAAAATGATAGCAGATCCAGCTGTTGCGCAGTTCAGTGCAGCTGGAATCGCTGTAAACACTAACGAGCTGATTGTACCAAAACACATCCACTTTGTACCGAAAGCACTAAAAGCACATCAGTTCATCTCAGGTCAAGCACAATGTGATACTGCAAAGATGTGATGCTCTTCAGATGGTGTTAGCTGTCATTCTGTAACATAGCCAGACCTTTTTTACTCTTATTTTATCAGGGTGGGGGCTTTGAAACCATTACAAATGAGCTGAAACTTTTTTTTTTGGTGTTTATTGGAGTCCACTGAAGCATCAGCTGACCACTCCTCACCGGCTGTACCTCTCACCACTGTTGTTTCACAAACGTTTACCTCTTTTACTTTTACAATGCAAAGTGTCACAAGCGTATGTATGTTGTTACCATGTCGCTGTTGTCGGAAGAAAACTCCAGAATGGTAACTTTACAGGAGAAGGAAAAACATACTTTACTTTTAAGTCAATGGAACCAGAATTTTTCCAAGTCATTTTGGGCCGTTTCTTTTGGACCGTTCATCATGAAATTTACACGCAGTGTAGGCATTTTTAGATTACGCCAAAAACTGAAAAAGGTTTTCCTCTGACAGCAGCGATATGCAATTGTCAGTCTGAAGGGGAATTCCACCAGTTTTCCAAAATTTTTGCATAATTCAGTCACTCATGCACAAACTCAATCAGAGCGGTTTGGTGTGAAATGGTTCAGATGTCTTTACAGTGGTGGTGATAGGAACCAGGGTCACCATGACTACAACACAGATATAGACATTTTATTTACTATCCAGAACCACCAGTGAACCTACATGAGTCTTCTGAGTTTATATGGAATGTTGATGATGGGAAAATATTGATAAATCTGGAAAAGTATGTTTTCTTTGGGGACTGTTTTGCCTCACAACGTCCCTCCGCCACAAATCTGTGTCTGTCATCAGGCATTTCATGTAATAACCATTTAGAGGTGGACGTCTGGTTCCTATCACCACCATTATGAACAGTTCTGACTCTGTAAGTTTCTCTAGAATGGAGCGTTTCACACCAAACCGCTCTGAACGACTCTGTTTACGTCTCAACCACTTAAAAAGTGTTTTTAAAACTCGGTGGAGTTGCCCTTTACCTACACTGCTGTATCACTGGTTTACATTGGACTTTGCTGAGGTGTTTTATTTTTAAGGTTATGGTCTTTATTAATTGTATAAATAATTAATGCAATGCTGCTGACTATTGTGAGATCATGTGACCTCTTTTTGAAAGGGTGAAGAGCTTTGGCGAGCTCAGCACAACTGATCGGACACAGAGGGACAGAAATAGTTTGGATGCACACGGCTGCTTCTCTTATTTCACAGGCATTCAGAGCGCTCTCTCTCTCATTCTCTCTCTCTCCCCTTCTCATTCTCTCTCTCTCTCTCTCTCTCTCTCTCTCTCTCTCTCTCTCCCCTTCTCATTCTCTTTCTCACTCTCTTTGTCTCTCTCTCTCTGTCTCTCTTTCTCTCTCATTCTCATTCTCTCTCTCTTTCTCTGTTTCTCTCTCATTCTCATTCTCTCTCTCTCTCTGTCTCTTTCATTCTCATTCTCTCTCTCTCTCTCTCTCTCTCTCGCTCTCTCTTTCTCTCATTCTCTCTCTCTCTGTCTCTCTTTCTCTCTCATTCTCTCTCTCTGTGTCTCTCTTTCTCATTCTGTCTCTCATTCTCTCTCTCTCTGTCTCTCTCTTTCATTCTCATTCCCTCTCTCTCTCTCTCTCTCTCTCTCTCCTCTCATTCTCATATTCTCTCTCTCTCTCTCTCTCTCTCTCATTCTCATTCTCTCTGTCTTTCATTCTCATTCTCCCTCTCTCTTTCTCTCTCTCTCTCTCTCTCTCTCTCTCTCTCTCTCTCTCTCTCTCTCTCTCTCTCTCTCTCTCTCTCTCATTCTCTCTCTGTCTTTCTCTACTCCTTTCTTTCCCCTTCTTAAGAGAATCAGGCCAAGTCTCAGAAAGGTAGAATATTTCTGATGGGGCTTATTATAAAGCTGATAAGCAGCAGCTGTAAAATGTACAGTGATGTTTGTGTGTCGGAGTGATAACATCGCTGTGTCATCATCGGTTTTAATGCTGATGTGTCTATTTAAAGTTCAGCATCTGCTTGGTCCACATTCGTGCTCACACAACATTTTTGAGGCCGGCTCAAAGAACATGACTCAAAATAAACACCACATGGCTATAGGTGAGTTGGCTGTAAGTGACAGTTCACCAAAAAAGCAAATTTTCATGACATATAAAATGTATTCAGGAAAGACCTGGTGTCATTTCACCTTTAAAAGCTGACAAAAGTGCAGGCTAAACTAAGGCTCTAAAGGCCAACTCCACTGACTTTTTGAAATTCCTGCATAATTAAACAGTTAAGATGTAAACAGAGTCATTCAGAGCGTTTGGTGTGAAACACTCCGTTCTAGAGAAACATGCAGAGTCAGAACTGTTCACAGTGGTGGTGATAGGAACCAGACATCCACCTCTAAAAGCTCCCTCACAGAAAGTTACTACATGAAATTGTTATGAATTCACTGCCTGATGACTGAGACACTGTTTTACAGTTGTTTTGAGAAGGTTTGGGCCCAAAGCATATTTAAAACAATTGTTACCAGTATTTCCATCATCATTAGGTTCACTGGTGGTTTCTAAGTTTATAAGGATAGTTAATAAAATGGCTATATTTATGCTGTTGTCATGGCGACACAGGAACAGTGGTTCCTATCACCACCGCTGTAATAATAATAAATCATTGTTTACATAGTGCATGAATGTAAGCAAAACAGCACAATTACAAACAGGGGGAAATGAGCCACAGTACTTCTAGGTGTATGTTAGCCTAAACAAATATGTTTTTAATCTGGGTTTAAAACATCTATCAAGCTTGCGCTCCCAAACTCTGGAACGCTGTTCCAGGGTTTATGAGCTCTATAAGAAAATTATCTTCCACCAGCTGAGCTGTAAAGAAATCTGAGTCAGTCAGTTTCTCTATAGTGAGTCATTTTCACATCAAACACAAATGTACTGTTTAACTATGTCCATGAACACTCCAGTGCAAAAAAATGCCCCAAATGGCAAAATATTAACCCCTTATTGTGGCCAGGGCCCATCAGGAGGCCCACAGTTTTATTACACACTTCTATAACTATAACTGTATTAATGTGAGAACAAATATTGTTTATACACACTTAAAAAAGATGGTTCTTCAAGGGTTCTTTAGTAAAGGCAATGGTTAAATGCTTAATGCTCTTGCTTAAATGGAAATGATTGAAAAGGGTTCTATATAGCCCCGAAACAGGTTCTTCTGTTGTATACAAGCTCGACATTGTAACAATAGCAGAACCCTTTCTGATGCTATATAGAACCCTTTTTGAAAAGCTTCTATATAGAACATATTCTATATACAACACATTCTCAATCCATCTGAAGAGCCATTTCACCATGCAAAGAACCCTTTAAGCATGAAATGGTTCTGTATAGAACCTAAATAGAACCATTTCTTTTACTTTTAAATGTGTAGGGTTTAAATCTGGACTCTGACCAGGCCAGAACCATCAGTAAAAACCATTCGTATTTTGGGCTTGGTCTATTTTTTTTTTTTATTGGACAGGATTGTACTTTGGTCCACTTTTATAGATAAATGTGTCATAAAGTGGCCACATTATTAACTCTATTAGAGGTCACTTAACTCCACTTGGTTTCATTATTTAGCCCTGCAGTTTGCACTGTGATAACAGGTGTATATGAGCTTTCATCACTTAACTACATTAGCCTCATAGCCTCCAGCGCTAAAAATAAAAAAGCCTTCAGAAAGCAAACGTATCTCGGCTGATCGACAACATTAAAAAAAGATGATTTCTACTCAAACTATTGCTTTACATATTAGTTATTCCGTGTCTGTTGGAAAGAAATTCTGCAGCTGTTGTAACTGTAGTGAACACAGACGCTCTGTCATCACTGCAGAACTGAACGCAGTGAAGACTGACCTGGACCAGATTCAGGCCTGACAAACACTCACATGGACGCCGATGAGGTTCAAATCGTTGCTTTTGCTGCAAAACCTTGTATCTCCAATTTGGTAACTTTTCAGAAGGAGAAAAAAAACTTTTTTAACTTTGAATAGAGGTTAACGGAATACCATTTTATCCCAACTAACTTTGGAGCATTTCTATTGGTCCGTTCATCATTAAAGTTGATCAAAATGTAAAGGGCAGCTGGCATTCCCAAAATCTGGGGAACCCCCAACAAAACTGGGGATGTCCCGACAGCCACGAAATGCCGCTTGGAATCGAAAGTAAGCGGGGCAGTTAAGGCCTTCCAATTTTCACCTCTCCGGGATGTAGTTGCAGCGGTAACCAGAGACGAAAAGGGCCGCGCTGGTCAGCAAGACGGTGGTGTTTAGAAGAGATGACCTTTAGGAAAGAGAGAGAGAGGGATGGAGTTTCAGTGACAGAGATGTATTGAAGGTCAGACTGAGGAGTGCAGCGCTGTTCTCGATCACCTGTCAGGCCCGGCCTGAGACGCATTAGCCTTTAGCATGCTAGTGCGCTAACTCGCCCTCGTTTTTTCTCCGGGTTACAGGTGTTTAAATCCGTTTCTGCATTTTTATGTAGGTGTTACATATTTCACTCGTCTATTCTCTCTCCACTCATCACACAAACACACAGCAAAGGACATCAGGAGCACAGTCTGACACACGTGGCCCTGTCAGTCATCTGTGCTCCCCTGTTCCACCATGTCCTCTAAGTGCATGTGACTATGTGGCTGGACTATAGCGGTCAGTCCCCTTTCTGTCACTCACTGTAGAAGAGCCAAGCCAACAGCAGACCCACTGTTAGCACAACTCGACCAGCAGGTTCTCAAAACCAGCAAGTTTCTTAGCTTCTTCTGCGCGTTGCCTTGGGCTATAGTTGGGTGGAGACGTTCTGCGTGTCTGAAGTGAAGTAGCGCTGCTGGAAGTTCTGGTTGTTCCTCTGTGACGGAACAGGAGGGTGTGGAAGATGGCGGCTCTGCGCTTTGGGCTGGTGGCTCTGTTGCTAGCTCTGCTGAGTGTGGGAGCGTGGACAGCGGAGGCCAAGGAAGTGGACCGGGCAGAAGCAGACGTGGCTGATGATGAGGACAGTGGACATGTGGCCCAAGAAGAGGAAGGTGGAGATGTGGATGATGACGGAGGGGAAGAAGGCCTAGCCGAAGAGGAAGAAGAAGAAGCTGAGGATGAGACTGCTGAAGATGATGATGAAAGAGAGGAAGAAGAAGAAGAAGAGGAGGAGGAGGAGGCTGAGGAAGGAACTCAGGAAGAGGAGCTAACTGATGAAGACGAAGCAGCGGGGGAAGATGCTGGGGAAGATTCTGAGGATGGTGATGAAGATGAGGCTGGAGCTACTGAGGAAGATTCTGAGGAGGAAGAGGGTGATGAGGACGAGGCTGAAGCTGCTGAAGAAGGTTCTGAGGAGGAAGAGGGTGACGAGGATGATGGTGAAGCTGCTGAAGAACATTCAGAGGATGAAGAGGGTGATGAGGATGACGGTGAAGCTGCTGAAGAAGGTTCTGAGGAGGAAGAGGGTGATGAGGATGAGCCTGAAGAACATTTTGAGGAGGAAGAGGATGATGAGGATGAGCCTGAAGAACATTTTGAGGAGGAAGAGGGTGATGAGGATGAAGCTGGAGATACTGAAAACCCATCTGAGGAGGATGAGGATGGAGCTTCTGAAGCTGTCGATGAAGATGATGATGATGGTGAAGATCAAGGGGCAGCAGGAGAAGAAACTGAAGGTATCTGTTGCTTACAGTGATCAGGTTTATGACCTTCAGAGTGGTTTGGTGTGAAATGCTCTGTTCTAGAGAAACTTACAGGCCCAGAAGTGTTCACAGTGGGGGTGATAGGAACCAGACGTCCAGACGTATTACATTAATATGCTGTCTGATCTCTGAAACATTGTTTTACCATAGTTTCGAGATGAACCTTTGGCCTATAGCATATTTCTAAAACCCATTTATGGTGGAGGGATACATGCAAATCATTGTGAGGGAAAATAGTCCCCAAAGAAAACTTATTATTTCAGATTTTCCAGTATTTTCCATCATCAACATTCCATATAAACTCAGAAGACTTGTGTAGGTTCACTGGTGGTTCTGGATAGTAAATAAAATGTCTATATTTGTGTTGTAGTCATGGTGACCCCTGGTTCCTATCACCACCACTGTAAAGAAATCTGAACCATTTCACACCAAACCACTCTGAATCTCTCTGTTTACACCTCACACACTGAATTATGCATATTTTGTAAAATTGGTGGAATCGCCATTTAATGCTTCAATGCTCGATCCAGCCTTTAAGCACAAGTTCAGTACATTTGGTGGTAAAAAAGATCATTACGTACAGTTGTAAGGTTTATTTTTACCTCTTTCAGGCCGCTGTGTGCTGATACTGTCCCACTACAGGCATGCAGAGACACTCTTGGCTCTAAAATAGCCTGCTATATCTGAACAGTAACAAGCATCCGAACTATTCCAAACTCTTTAAGCCTCATACGCTGAATTGCTGTTGGCATAAACCTAAGATGCTTACTTGCTGCAAGGTATCTCAGCGAGGTGAGGCTTATCTTTGTCATGGTCACTCTTTCAGCAGAGCTTTAGCTTCAGTACGAATAACAATACGAGTCAAACCGCTGTACCATGTGTCACAATTTCCACATACTTTAAAAAGATGGATTTTTTTTGTAAAAGAAAATGGATCTATTTAGCCATTTCACGCTTAAATGGTTCTTTGCATGATGAAATGGGTCTTCAGCTTGGTGTATATGGCTCTGTATAGGTTCTGCTATTGTTACAATGTCAAGCTTGTTACAATAGAAGAACCCATTATGGTGCTATATAGAGCCATTTTCAAAAAGGTTCTATATAGAAGTGTGTAGACCTTGCTAACTGACCATTAATTGCTTATTAAGTGTTTAAAAAGACCTTAAGTAGTCCCCTTATGATTATTTTTTCCTCCTTGTCATGTATTAGCTAAATGTTTGCCTCTAGCAACGCTTCAAATCTGCTAGCACTGCTAGCAGCAGTCAGTGGTATGTTTAAGGTGCTAACATAGCTGGTCAGCCTACTTAATTCATCTTATAAAGCACAAGTTTGGCCAGAAACACAATTTATACAATCTTTTCCCTCAAATTTAGTTGATCAGCCAAGACATGTTTAGTGTCTGAAGTTCTCTTCTCTAGTTTTATACACTGGAGCTACGTGGCTAATGTGGCTAACTAGCACATTTGTTAGCTCATAGGTGCCACACTCACACACTTGCCTCAAGCTTTTAGGGGAGTTTTAAGGGTTTTTAAATAGACTTGTTTAGGGGGTTTTGACACTGTATGGCTCACTTATAAACAAAGAAGTACGTTACAGACAAAAAGGAGGTTTTAATATAGCAGCTTCTAGTGTTTTTGTCTATTTTTATAGATAGTAGTGTGTTGTATAGTGTTGGAATCCACATGAGCGAGTCTATTAGAGAATAACTGACCAACGCCACACAGTTTGAGGTAAATATGTGGTGATTTAGGTATGCAGTTATGCAGTTAGCACTAATTTATGAGGCATAAGCTTCCATCACTTGTCCCAGATAGCGTGCATATCGTTGCTGTTGGAATAAAACCTTGTATCTCCATTTTTGTCATTTTTCAGTTTTTGACAAAATTTGAAAATACCTGTTTCCCTTTACATTGTGTGTAAATTTCATGAAGAATGGACCAAAAGAAACGGCCCAAAATGACTTGGAATAATGTCTGGTTTCAGTGACTTACATTAAATGTAAAGTACATTTCTTCCTTCCCCTGTAAAGTTACCATTTTGGAGACATGAGGTTTTCTTTCAACAACAGCGATATGTCAAACTGCTGGCTTGATAAGGTCAGCACCCCACTGACTGTATGCTACCACTGGTCCACCTTCGGACCACCCAGATTATTGTCCTGTGTAGTTCTAACTAGTTTTTAATCTTTAATCAAACAGATTTTAAATCCACGAAGACTTATTTTGGAAAATAAACGAATAGTATAAAAAAACAGAGAGAAAAAAAGACTAAGCCTAATATAAAATGATTTTCCTGAAAATGTCGTTGCTGACCTTGACTGGTTACAGCTGCATAGCCGGTTTTATTTATGACATTGCTGTTATTTACTAAACTAATTTACAAAGGATAACGAAAGAAAGAAAGGAAGGAAACTCAGCTGTGAGTGGAAAATGAGTGTTGCACTGCAAAAAATGGTGTCTTGTCAAGTAAAATGCTATTAAATCTAGTCAATTTATCTAATATTTCCCATTTTGAGATGGTTGTGTACTTATTATAAGATAATTTAGCTTATTTTAGACACTTTTCACTTGTTTTCAGTCACTTGATTAAGTAAAATTATCTCACTATACTGGCAGATAATTTTGCTGGTTTCAAGCTCATTACTTAAAACAAGCTAAATTATCTTCCAATACAGTGAGATCATTTTACTTAATACACTTACTTAAAACAAGTAAAAAATGTCTAGAAATGAGGTCAATAATCTTAAATTAAGCTTGAGCAGCAATCTCAACAGGAGAAATATTAGATTTATAGACGATATTTAAGATAATTTTACTTGACAAGATACCATTTTTGCAGTGTAATCTCCTCAATTAGATTTTAAATGCACAAAGACTTTTATTTTGAAAAATAAACAGACAAATATTATAGAAAAACTGATAGAAATGAACACTAGGCCTAATATAAAATTATTTTGTTGGAAATGTTGTTGCTGACCTTGACTGTTTACAGCTGGATAACCAGTTTTATTTATAATATTGCTGTTAAAATTATTTACTAAACTAAATTACAAAGGATAATGAAGGAAAACTCAACTGTGAGTGGAAAATGTGAAAATTTGTCAAATATTCTGCTTAACCACCAGGAGGCCGCTCTGAAAATGCTCAGCATTAAGCCAGCGGGCCGCCAGCTTTGCCGTCAGCGGCCCAACAGTGGCCCACTGTCCTCTTACTACCTGGAGTCAGCCTTGTAGCCTCCAGTGCAACAGTAAAGCAGCAGTGTCTTGGCTGATCGACTCAATATGGTTCAAGAGGAAACTTACAAATGAGATTTAGGACCAAATCCACTACTTTAAGACGACGTATCTAACTTAGGTTGATTTAAAGTGAACCAGCATGTCTCTTGTGTTCTGTAGGAGAGGCTGCTGATGAGGAAGCCACAGTAGGTGAGGAGACTGAAGTACCAGCTGGAGAAGCAGAGTATCACACCGGCTCTCTGTGCAGCCTCTGCTCCATCTGCGAGGTACTGACTCAGAGAAACACCACATAAACACATGGATCATGTTCATACTACTTAAAACTTTAGAACATAATAAAGGTCTGTAATAATACTACAGCAATTTCTGCAAGAACTGTGCAGTAAATACAGACAATTGCTATAGTTCTCATAGCTCTTACAGATATCTTATAGTATTATTATAGATACACAAAATGCCCAAAAACAATGTTTTTTTGGGTGGACGAGGGTCTTCTGGAGACAATGCACATGAAAAAGTCTGAATGCGAAGGTTGGGGGGCACTGTTCAAATTCCATGTTTTGTTGATTTTTTAAGTTTCTAAGTTCTCTTTCTACAGAGAACACACTTCTTCTACTTTAACGCACAGTTACTGTTTATTTGCTGAACTGAACATATCGAGGGGATAAAATGTAGCCTGTGCAAAAGGCACACTTTACATTCTATGTATGTGTATCTATGTCACTGCTGTTGGAACAAAACTCTCATCTCCATTTTTGTTGTTTTTCAGTTTTTGACAAAATTTGAAAATACCTGTTTCCCTTTACGTTTTGTGTAAATTTCATGATGAATGAACCAAAAGAAACGACCCAAAATGACTTGGAAAAAAGTCTGGTTCCTTTGACTTACATTAAAAGTTAAAGTATGTTTTTCCTTCTCCTGTAAAGTTAGCATTTTGGAGATACGAGGTTTTCTTCCAACAACAGCGATATACATATTTGGTCTCCACACTGTAAAAAATGGCTCGTCAGATCAACCCTTAAAAAATTACTTGATGTGGTAACAAGTAAATTAACTAACTTTAACTATACATTAAATGATTCTTTCAATCAATGTAATTTCTTTGCGTTGAATAAAACTGGTTCAATTGCTTGTTACCACATGAAGTAATTTTTAGGCTGATCTGTCGAGCCATTTTTACAGTGTATAGAGAATGTGTACTTATTTTCACTTAGAAAACATGCAGTTTAACCAAGTATGTTCAAACTTCTGCATACAGCTATATACTGACTGTCCCAGCAGTCATTTACAGTAGTGCACAGAAGCTGTTCTAATAGTTTTCACTCACTTGCACAACTGCTTGGTTGATCTGCTTGGTTCCAACCAATCAGCGATGAACTAGTGTTGTGTTACACTGTAGAAAAATTAGTGGTGCACCAATCATAAATGTTTATGTCCGATTTCCATTATTTTTGTCCCATGATGCTTAAGACCTCTTTACAGCTGTACTATTCTCTCTCAGCACTGCAGCAGCTGTGATAAATGTCCGTGCGAGGCGGGAGACTCATCAGCACACTGCCAGCACTGTCAAGTAAGTGTTAATATCTTTACTAATATTCATGTTAAAGGAGAATGTTTTTTTACATTTGTGCATACTTTAATGGTTAAGATGTAAACAAAGTGGTTTGGTTTGAAATGCTCTGTTCTAGAGAAACATACAGAGTCAGAATTGCTGCCTGACGTCTGAGACAGTTTTATTATAGCTTTGAGAAGATTTTTCAAATGTAAACATATTTTTAAAAATCCACTCATGGTGGAGGGACACATGCAGGACACTGTGAAGCAGAATAGTCCCCAAAGAAGACTAATTATTTCAGATTTTCAGCTATTTTCCGTCATCAACATTCCACATAAAACTCAAAAGACTCGAGTAGGCTCACTGGTGGTTTTAGATTTAGGTTCCAGTCATGACCATACTTTCTTCACCCCCCCGCAGCAATGCTCCTACTGCTACATCTGTCCGGTGGTCTGTGAGACGGTCTGTGAACCAGGTAAGAAAGGCTTGGCACTAGGATTGGATCTACCAGAGTAATTCTCATCAAAACATGCACACCCAACACAGAAACCCAGCTACTTTCACAGCAAACAGGACAGCAGAAATGCTAGCAGCTACACAGTGTGGGACTCTGTCTGGCATGCAGGAATAGAATGAGAATTAATATTGTATTGATTTTTATGAAGAAAACTTCTTCTCAATGCAGTTTTTGACCAATAAAAAATAAACACATTTTAAGGAATATACTCAGCTCCCCCTAGTGGCTAAGGGTCTCTCAGCAACTGCTTTTACTGCCAATAACAGCTCCAGCTGAGACACTGGCCTCATGTTAACATGCTGATGTTCGGGGAACGTCCTGTCCCGGGTGTGGAGGTCATGTGCTCTTTTATGTTTTGGAAATCAGATGTTTAAACTGAGAGTTAAATTGTCTTTGTCCACAAAGTGTGATATACTAAACAGAGATACACTAAACAAAATTATACTTAAGTATACTTCACTACTGGCAAGTATAAGTATATTTGGACTTGTACTTAAGCTTCTGATCGAGATGTACTTAAGAGGAGTATAACTAATTATTCTTGCCTTATATATGAAGTTTAAGTATACTTGGCTTGTACTTTGAAGTGGAACAGCTTAGAGTAAACAGTACATTTGTGGAACTGATCTTTCATGTAAATTATAGAGAAGTACAACGTGTTTGTGGGAACTGATTTTGGAGAGGTTACATGACACAAATCCTAATATCAAACATCCCTAAGACTGTGTGTTTTTGTTGTGCTTTGTTTTGATCTGGAATGTTGATTTGAGTTGTTATGCTCTAATATTTTGGCATCAAATACAATATTTGAAAATCTTGATTTTTAAAGAAAACAACTACTTCTACTTGAAGTACAGTTAAAGGTATATTTCAAGTATTAAAAATAAATAAGTAGTAAACTACAAGTATTACATTAAGTTCATTTAAAGAAAACTTACAGGTATACTTCCAGTATGAAACTATTAAACTAGACGTTTACTGAAAGTATACTTATATTTCATACACTAAAAAGTTGGATAGAAGTATAAAACTAGTAAATAAACAGTATATGTTCACTTTTAGTACAGTACAGTTCAGTACAGTGCAATATAAAACTTGTATGTAAACTAGTTGTGTACTGAAGGTTTACTACTCTTACAGCTGAAGAATACTTTAGCATATACTTTTATAAACTAAAAAGTGGGTCAATTTAGCCCCAAGAAGTACTGAAATAGTACACTAACAAGTAAACTACCAGTATATTGATACTACTATACTTACTAATGATGGTTCTGGGAAGTAAATTTGAATTTTACTTAAGTTTACTAAGTAGGGGTTAAGAAAGATTCGCTTTGCATGTGCGAAGCAGCCATGGCAAACCTGTCTGAATCAAGCAGTATTAAATGAGCCTTTCTATTTCTCACAGGTGGCATTGTGGATGTGCTGTCTGGAACCTTTTATCAGTGAGCATTTATTAATCCTTATCTAATATTTGATTTTTTTTCTTTTTTACATATTTAAATTTCTCATTTCGTACATTTAAGTAGAGATGCAGCTTTACTGTCTTTGGTTTTGCCTTGCAGGACTGTGGCCTCATACCTATGAGCACATTTTACATTCTCTCCTGCGCCATCCTGTGGTGGACAGCAGAACTTCAGCTCAGCAGTTGGGTTCTCGTGTATCTGTGATGTATGTTAGATGTTGAACACATTCCTCAGCTTAGAACAGCTACAGAATCGGAGAAGCATGACCATTTATCTGTACAGCTGAGGAAATTCTACCACAGGGCCCTAATGTTTACCACGGCACAAAGCCTTATACAGTTATATTACAGCAGGACGGAGAGATTAAAGCTAATAACATTAGAAATTAGAAATTATTAAAATGTAACTCAAGATTTCACATTTACAGCTAGAAACATATAGAAGGAAAGGTTAATATTTTCAGTTTGGGTTATTTTTAGTAGATTCTACTATGACAGATAAAACCTCCACATCTGGTTTCAGTACAGATTGAACTGTTTTTGACAGGACTGATAAGGTTCATGTTTCACTGGCAGCTTCAGTTCAGTGTGAGACAGCAGCAGTGATGTGTGTATTTGCACAGGACGGCAGTTTCTAACAAAATAAACAGATTCCACATGTAAATGCTCGTTTCAGTGTTTCATTAACTAAATGCAACTACATATATATGTATATATATATATATATATATATATATATATATATATAATATTAATTACGTAATTACTGTACATTTTCCCTTGACAAGTTAAGTTCACACACCCTAAATATTGGATAGAATTTTGCTGGGCTACAGTCGAAGTGGGACAGAATTTTGTTGGACTACAGTCGAAGTGGGACAGAATTTTGTTGGAGTACAGTAGAAGTGGGACAGAATTTAGTTGGACTACAGTCGAAGTGGGACAGAATTTTGTTGGAGTACAGTAGAAGTGGGACAGAATTTAGTTGGACTACAGTCGAAGTGGGACAGAATTTTGTTGGAGTACAGTAGAAGTGGGACAGAATTTAGTTGGGCTACAGTCAAAGAGGACAGAATTTAGTTGGGCTACAGTCGAAGTGGGACAGAATTTTGTTGGAGTACAGTAGAAGTGGGACAGAATTTTGTTGGGCTACAGTCAAAGAGGACAGAATTTAGTTGGGCTACAGTCAAAGAGGACAGAATTTTGTTGGGCTACAGTCAAAGAGGACAGAATTTAGTTGGGCTACAGTCAAAGAGGACAGAATTTAGTTGGGCTACAGTAGAAGTGGGACAGAATTTAGTTGGGCTACAGTCAAAGAGGACAGAATTTTGTTGGACTACAGTCGAAGTGGGACAGAATTTAGTTGGGCTACAGTCAAAGAGGACAGAATTTAGTTGGGCTACAGTCAAAGAGGACAGAATTTTGTTGGACTACAGTAGAAGTGGGACAGAATTTTGTTGGGCTACAGTCAAAGAGGACAGAATTTAGTTGGGCTACAGTCAAAGAGGACAGAATTTTGTTGGACTACAGTCAAAGAGGACAGAATTTAGTTGGGCTACAGTCAAAGAGGACAGAATTTTGTTGGACTACAGTCAAAGGGGGACAGAATTTAGTTGGGCTACAGTCGAAGAGGGACAGAATTTTAGTTGGGCTGCAGTCAAAGAGGGCAGAATTTTGTTGGACTACAGTCGAGGGTCCGGAGAGTCCGGAGGATCCGACCCTTTCTCACTCGAGAGGCCACCCAGGTACTAGTGCAGTCTCTTGTCATCTCAAGGCTTGACTACTGCAACTCGCTCTTGGCTGGTCTTCCAATGCGGCCATCAAGCCTCTGCAACTCATCCAGAATGCAGCAGCACGGCTCGTCTTCAATCTCCCCAAGTTCAGCCACGTCACCCAACTGGCTTCCTGTAGCTGCACGCATCAGATTTAAAACCCTTATGTTTGCTTACAAAGCCAAAAATGGACCAGCCCCTCCCTACTTGATGGCAATGGTCAAATCTCGAACTGTACCACGAGCCCATCGAGCTTCGAGCACAGCTCGGCTTGACCCGCCATCCTTCAAGGCGTGCGGAAGGCAAGCATCAAGACTGTTCTCTGTGCTGGCACCCAGGTGGTGGAACGAACTCCCACTGGCTGTCCGTACAGCAGAGTCTCTCTCTGTCTTCAAACACAGACTGAAGACACACCTGTTTATACAGCACTTAAATGAGCACTGAGTTAAGTATTGATTGTAATGTATTGTACAGCACTTATGTATTGTATTGTATTGCACTGCTCTGTGTTTAACTCTGTTCCTTTTTCTCTGGGTGTCAATGACTTTCTGATTCTAGCAGTATCTGAGCTCAGGACTGGCTTTCTCTCTAACCTATTGGTAACTAGCAAAGATACTTTCTCTGGATAGACAAAGCACTTTTTGTAAGTCGCTCTGGATAAGAGCGTCTGCTAAATACTGTAAATGTAAAATGTAAATGTCAAGGTGGGACAGAATTTTGTTGGGCTACAGTCGAGGTGGGACTGAATTTAGTTGGGCTACAGTCGAGGTGGGACTGAATTTTGTTGGGCTACAGTCGAGGTGGGACTGAATTTTGTTGGACTACAGTCGAGGTGGGACTGAATTTAGTTGTGCTACAGTCGAGGTGGGACAGAATTTTGTTGTGACTACAGTCGAGGTGGGACTGAATTTTGTTGGGCTGCTTTCTTTCATGACTGTTCAAGTTCATGTGTTCATGTCCGCATTCTTCATCAGTGAGAGACTTCGGTATCAGTGTTTGACAACAAGGACAGAATATCAAGAGCAATGAAAACAAAACTAGCCATAAAAACAACCCAGTGGGAGTGATTAATTGGCTCAGGGTGTTAAAGGAAAAGAAAATGAATAGAAGGGAGAACCCAAAGTAATTTGTATCTGTCGATATGTAATGACAGACCTTGAATGTACTTGGACAAAGAGAACAGCTTAACTGTATTAGAGAATTTTACATTGCTGCTTACTGAACAAATCATCAGTCAGAGTCAAAACAGCCGTTCAAGCACAATGAAATTTAATTCTGCTGTAATGACTGGGGTGGTTACCACATTTCTAGACTGATGGGAGCGGTATCTGCTAGGATGATAGTGCCTCTATTAGGCTGGAGGCAATGATGATCACGTTAATGGTCCACAGCTTTAAAATGCACAAAAGGAAAGCGTGTGTCTCATAATCTGTTTTCTTTTAATGTGTAGTCCATGTCCCTCATCAGTCCGGATTCACTGTCTGGCTTCAGAATGTCCTATAGCTGTTTTTTACTGTGGTCATTCTTGCTAAACTGATAAAGCTGTGCTGCAGCCTTCGGCATGAAAAAAGAACAACGGCTTAACTAATGTTGTAGTTATTATGTCATATCCACCTCATTTTTCACATGACTGCTATGTTTGACTGAAATACCTGGTTAGGAAACAGAAATGTCGTCCGTTACTGTTTTTAGCGAAGTCAAAGAATGTTCTCTTACTGTTTTAAGCTGTCGTTTTGTTTAAATACATCAAAAGCATTCTGGGACAATGTGCAGTGCAACGCTACAGAGGATATGTGGATGTGGCTTCATAAAGACTCCTTGGAAAAGCCCAGTTGTTAGCATGAAATCTAAAATTGCTATACAAAATGCAAGAACTGACAGTTGAACATCACTAGTTGCTTCTAACAGACTTTCTTTAATAGATTAACACTTTATATTCTGTTTATAACATAAATTCTGCCTTCACTAGAGTGGGCTGAGCAGGTCAACAGGCAAACACTACAATAATAAAAGACAGACTTCAAGCCTTTAAAGAATGAGTTAATTAAAACTGAGACATACAAAGTGAAGGATGTTACTTCTATGTTTGTTACGAGCTTAAAAGGTCTGTATTTAAACTAGAGCTGACATCAAAATCCAATACAGCACTGCTAGCCTGACGCTAACATACCATGTTGAACATGCGAAGAGCATTACTGAATCGCTGTATTAGACGCTGCTATGTAATGGAATTTATTTATTTATTCACACATTTCTGTCATGGTATGATAAGCTATTCACATTTAATATCATTTCTGTTTATGCTTCGCTGGAAGTTCCGTCCGTATGTCACTCAAAACATCAGGGGGCGCAGGAATAAGGTGGATATCCCAGCCTATTAACAAAAGTAGGCCGCAGTAACAGTAGCCTTTAGGCTAATAATACATGGTAATATTTAGCCATTTTACTATTTTAACAAGAAGTGATTTATAGAATGTGAACGTGAAATTATACCAAACCAAACAAAGTTACCTTAACAAGTATCTGACCAGAAATCAGTCGATGGAACACAGCACATCGTCTCACAAGCTTAGCCCCCATCCACGGAGCACTAGGGGTCACTGAATGGTTTGATGAGAATGAAAATGACATCAATCAAATGCTGTGACCTTCTCAGACACCAGATCTCAACCCAGCTGAACATCTATGGGAAATTTTGAACCACCATCATCATCAAAACACCAACTGAGGGAGTATCTTCAGGATAGTTCCATCCCCTCGGTGCAGTTCCAGGCTTGTAGAATCTCATACATGCCAAATGGAAATCTGATATATGGACATATATGTACATATAGAGAGTCAGGCATATATATATACACACACGTCAAATACATGCCCTTATGTGACAAATATATTAGCATATATGGAAATCCATATTTTGCCATATGTCAGATTTCAGTATGGGCACATTACCATGTTTTACAGATGAGTTGGTTCTTCTTTTAATTATGAATGGTTCCTTTTTTATTCCACTACTTTCCTCATTCCATCCCTCCAGCACGGGTTAATCTTCATCCCACAACTCTACAGTTTATTTACTTTTTACCAAACTGTGCACAGGGGCTCAGTCATATTGGAACAGGAAAGGATCTTCCCCAAACTGCTGCCACAAAGCTGGAAGCATGTAACTGTGTAAAATGTCTTTGTGAGCTGTAGCATCAACACCACCCTTCATTGGAACTACCTGAAAAACAGGCCCCAGCCCATCATCCCTCCTCCACCAAACTCTACTGTTGGCACTGCATTCCGGTAGGTAATGTTCTCCTGGCGTCCACCAAACCCAGATTCATCATCAAACTGACAGATGGTGAAGCTGATTCATCACGCCAGAGAACTTGTTTCCACTGCTCCAGAGTCCAGTGGCGGCGCTTTACACCACTCCAGCCGACACTTGGCATTGCGCATAGTGATCTTAGGCTTGTGTGCAGCTGCTCAGCCATGGAAACCCATTTCATGAAGCTCCAGACACACAGTTCTTGGCTGATGTTGCTACCAAAGGCAGTTTGAAACTCTGTAGTGAGCGACGCAGCAGAGGATGGACAGTTTTTACATGCTTCAGAATATGGCGCTATGTGAGTTTGCATGGTCCACTGCTTTGTGGCTGAGCTGTTGTTTCTCCTAGGTGCTTCCATTTCACAGTAATAGCACTTACAGTTGGCTGGGGCAGATCTAGCAGGGCAGAGATTTTACAAACAGACTTGTAGCAAAGGTGTCATCCTCTGACAGTGCCACATTTAAAGTCTCTGAGTTCAGTACGACCCATTCCACTGTCAGTGTTTGTCTGATGGCTACGTGCTTGATTTTATACACCTGTTACAATGGACGCTTTGTAATTACAAGCTGGAAA